AACATGGTGAAATCCCATCTCTACTAAAAACACAAAAATTATCTGGGTTCCCTGGCTCATGCCTGTAATCCCGGCACTTTGGGAGGCCGAGGTGGTCGGATCACCTGAGGTCAGGAGTTCAAGTCCAGCCTGGCCAACATGGAGAAACCTCATCTCTACTAAAAACACAAAAATTATCCAGGCATGGTGGTGGGCACCCGTAATCCCAGCTACTTGGGAGGCTGAGGCAGGAGAATCACTTGAACCTGGGAGATGGATGCTGCAGTGAGCTGAGATTGTGCCATGGCACTCCAGCCTGGGCGACAGAGTGAGACTCTGTCTCAGAAAAGTTCTCGTAAAGAAAAATGCTGAGTAAAGAATAGTGCAGGTGGTGGTGTGTGAGTAAGGCAAAATTCTAAAGGTGGGATATGAACAACCAAAGTTTCAAAGGGACACTGCCTGTACCCCATGGCCCTGCCTAAAATTTCAGACAGCAATGGAGAGCCCAGCATGTGAGGAGCCACCCTTCAGGAGAGGGTGGCTGCTGCAGTTTGGTCTTTGTCCCCTAGCAGGTGACCTTGCCCTTTCTGTTCTAAATCCTGCCAAGGAAGCAGCTGAAAGAGCCTTCCTCAGCACCTGGCCCTGGGCAGGGGAGAGGGTCTCTAGCTGTCTCTGCACTGCCTCAGCCTGCAGGTGGGCCAGTTGTCCTGAGGCTGATGCTAGGTGTGGGTAGAAGCCCCGGGCACGGGCACCCACCCCCAGGCCCAGTGGCATCCACTCAGATGGGCCAGTTGTCCTGAGGCTGATGCTGGGTGTGGGTAGAAGCCCCAAGCGTGGGCACACCCCCCCCCCCCAGGCCCAGTGGCATCCACTCTGGCAGATCCTGCTAGGTACTCCTGGAAGCCAGCCTCGGCGCGTGGCCTGAATTCTGCTGTCTGTGACACATCTCAGGCCCTCGCCTCATGTCCTGTAGCTTGGAGTCACAGCCAGGGAGCCCGCCTTGCTTGTCTTGGAGATCAGCGCTCCTGGGGAGATTGTGTCTTTGCTTACCCTGAAGCCAAGCGTTTGGAGGCTTTCGTGAGCCTCTCAGCTCTGTGGAAGACCAGGCCTGAGCTGGCCGCACCTTACCTCTAGACGCCGTCCCTCCCAGAGTGGCCTGACGTCTTTGGTTGGTGGCTTCAAGCTGCCAGCCGTCAGCCTAGCAGATTATGCAGGACGCCGAGGATGAATGAGCCCACCAAGGCGGGATTTCGTAAGTCCTGGCTGGAAGGAAGTGAGGACAGGCAGCTTCCCGGGGCTGGAGAGTGGCAGGCAGTGGGGCCTGGAACTCTCCAGAAAACTCACTCCGGAGGAGTCTGGGTGCAGGGGCACCTGTAAAGCGCTCCTGGGGGCACAGGCCATCTCTTTCACCTTCGTATTCCCAGGCCTGGCACCCATCGGGAATGGATGAGTGAATGGTGAGCGCTGGTGTTTGATGAGACGAGAGTCCCCCACAGGGACTGCAGAAACACTCCTGAATTTCCTGATGGTTCTGAACTAGGAATGGTGGAGTCCGGGGTGAACAGAGAAGAGACGGGAGATGGAAGAGGCCTTTCCTTGGCAGTAACTGAGCAATGGGCCTCCCATTAGCCAAGCGGGCAGCAGCTAATTTCCCATCCAGAAGCTCTCCAGCACCTTTACTCCCATCCCATCTGAAACTGCAGAGTGGACGGGGCCGGAATGGGGGCGCCGGGGCTGACTGTTGCCTTTTGTGGGAGGGTCTTCCTGAGAGGTCTTCCCATCAGAACCAGCCTTTCACGATTGGGTTGTGGCTGGGAGTGCTGAGGACAGGATCTTGCAGAAATGGGCGATTACAGGGCTGCGGGGTCCATGCTTGTGCCGGGGGAGGAGACGGACTTAGTCTGAGCAGTGCTACAGTTAAGCTCCGTGTGCCCCAAGTGACTTCCTTTAGAGGGTGTTTGCTAAACCCTCAGGCACACTCTTGGTGGGCAGAGAACAGGATGGGGTGCATTTGTCAAGGCTGGGAAGCCGCAGGAAGACCCCCGAGGGTCTGACCTGGAGGGGTTGGGCTGAGGGCCGGTCCAGGCTCCAGTCTTGTCCCTCAGGGGTCTGTGTGCTGGCAGCCGTGCAGACCACTGCAGTCTGACTCTCCCTGTGCCTCAGGAACACAGTACCACCTGCCGGACTGTCAGACTCCAGTGAGTTGAACCAGGAAGACTGAGTGCTGAGCACCCTTCCTGGTACTTGCAAAGCCTCAATATGTAACTAGTGGCCCTTTCTAAAGCTTGGGATCTGCCCTGCTTTTTTCACGCTGCTGAAACAAATCACCGTAAACTTAAGGGCTTAAAAAGACACAAATTTATTCTCTTGTAATCCCAGCACTTGGGGAAGCCGAGGTTGGCAGATCGCCTGAGGTCAGGAGTTTGAGACCAGCCTGGCCAACATGGTGAAACCCCGTCTCTACTAAAAATATAAAACTTAGCAGGCATGATGGCAGGTGCCTGTAATCCCAGCTACTCAGGAGGCTGAGGTGGGAGAATTACTTGAACCCGGGAAGGGGAGGCTGCAGTGAGCCGAGATCACACCACTGTACTTCAGCTGGGTGACAGAGCGAGACTCCATCTCGATCAATCAATCAATCAGTAAAATACAAAGGAATCTCCAGGGCAGCACTGCTTCTGGAAGCTCTTGGGCAAGCTTGTCCAACCTTGTCCCACGGGCCACCTGCTTTTAATGTGGCCAGACACAAATTTGTAAACCCCTAAAACATATTTTTTTTCTTTGAGCTCATCAGCTGTTGTTAGTGTTACTGCGTTTTATGTGTGGCCCAAGACAATTCTTCTTCCAGTGTGGCCCGGGAAGATCGGGCACCCCTGCTCTAGGGGAGCGGATTCATTTTCCCTGCCGTTTCTAGCTTCCAAAGGCTCCCTGCATTCCTTAGCTCATGGCCCCATCCGCTGTCTTCAAATCTACCAGTGTTACGGTATCTTCCAAACAATCCCTCAGCACCACCCTTTCTCTCTGGCTGTCTCATTCCCCTTCTGTGGCCACAATGCCTCGGGGAAAGAGGGAATGTGGGGCAGCAGGTAAGGAAAGAACCGAAGGCCAGAGACCTTTGAAGATGAGGAAGCTGGTGCTCCCACATGTGGAGAAGACCGAGTGATCTCATGGCTGTGGGAAAGACTGGGACAGGCCTGGGCCACTGCAGGTGTTTTATAAAGGACCTGCTGGACCCTGTGTCCCAGTCTAGGGCCGAATCTTTCTTTGTTTTTTAGATGTCTTTCCCACTAGATTCTAAGCCACGTGAGAACAGGGACCCCTGAGTGTTTCCCATTGTATCTGCAAAGCCTGGTGGACGTTCAGTAACTGTTTATTGAATGAATAAATAGACACATAGCCCAATTGAATTCTAAAGGGGTCACATTTTGCAGTACTGATATTTGGTCCTTGGCAAGCATCGGGCAAGGTGGCACTCTTAGAAGGTAAATCCAGCTCCCGTATATGGGACAGGCAGGAGGAGGGAGGAAGAGAGGCAGGAAAAGTCGGTTTGGAGAACCCAGTCGACAGAGTGGGATGCAGGGGGCCTCAACCACGGTAGAGGGGAAGGGTGGGACGGGGGAACAGGAGGGGAGACAGATGAGCAGGAAAGGGCTTGCGGAGATGAGCAGAGAGGCAGGGAAGGGCTCAGGGGCTCAGTGTGGCAGAGGGAGAGGGGAGACAAGACGGACCAGGATGACTCTTGGGGATCCTGGCCGAGAAGAACGACTGTCCGTGTGTTTTCGCTGAGGAAATGTTGGGGGTACTTTCTGAAATGTTGGGGTACTTTCTCTAAAATGTTGAGGGTAATTTCTGAAATATTGGGGTACTTCCTGTCTCTGAGCCGGCACTGTGCCTGCCGGTGGACTCCAAGTCTGAATAGTGTGTCCTCCTCTCTAAGGAGCAGCAGTTCTGGAGGGAGAAGGCCACTCCGGGCTGTGCCTTGCGCAACGCGGTGGTCAGGAAGTGCTGGGGGCCAGTGTGCCGGGCAGGGGTGGGGCTGAGGGGTCCAGGCCGCCTTCTGTTGGGGGACTGAGACTAGCCAGAAGCCAGAAGCCTCACGGCTGGGGCCCCTGTGCCTCCATTCCGTTCTCTCCACCCGTGCTCTGCTGGCTTACCCGTCACTTCCTCTGGGGCCCCTCTCTGTCCCCCCAGACTTAGATTCTGGCCCTGCTGTTTCCTCCCCTGTGACCGTGCCCTGCCTCAGTCAGGACTCTGATTTTCCCTCCTGAATATCCTTATCCCAGGACAGACAGCCCGGCAGACGTGGGTGGGTCCCATGTCTGCTCATCTCCGGAAGGCTGGCTTGCTTGGCAGGTGGATGAATCCATGGACGAACATCGATGGGGAAATGTGGGAATTGGTTGAGGGAAGCGAAACCAGGTGTTAGCAGCAGGAGCATGAGTGTCTGAAGCTGCTTTTGGAGCTGGAGAGGAAAGGGGGCCTGCCCCCCCTCCTGTGGGCCATGTCTGCATGTTTTATATTTGTTTTATCATAGTAACTGACTTATGTTTTCTGCATGTTTTACATATTTTTTAATCATACTGTCTGACTTTTATCCGCTATAAAAGTGTTACTGAAAGAAGGGGAAAAGGGAAAGTGGGGGCCGGGGACAGTGCTCATGTCTGTCATCCCAGCCCTTTGGGAGGCTGAGGCGGGCAGGCCACCTGAGGTCGGGAGTTCAAGACTATCCTGACCAACGTGGTGAAACCCCGTCTCTACTAAAAATACAAAAATTAGCCGGGTGTGGTGGCAGGTATCTGTAGTTTCAGCTACTCAGAGGCTGAGGCAGGAGAATCACTAGAACCTGGGAAGCGGAGGTTGCAGTGAGCCGAGGCTGGACCAGTGCACTCCAGCCTGGGTGACAGAGTGAGACTCAGTCTCAACAAACAAAAGCAGGGGGAAAGGGTAGGGAAGCAGGCAGTGCGCTGAGGATTTGGGCCTCCTTGCTCATGAGCTGCTGGCTGTGCTTTGCTTTTGCACAGGTGGAAGCAGGGAAGGGCCTGGAGATGAGGAAGCTGGTTCTCTCGGGGTTCCTGGCCAGCGAAGAGATCTACATTAACCAGCTGGAAGCCCTGTTGCTGGTGAGTACAGTGTGTGCTCTGGGGCCCCGGGGCCCTGAGCCGGGCAGCCTCATGCTCTGAAGCTGCTTTTGGAGGGGCCCCAAGCCGGGCAACCTCATGCTCTGAAGCTGCTTTTGGAGCTGGAGAGGAAAGGGGCCTGCCCCCGACCTCCTGTGGACAGAGTCTGCAGCTGCTCTGCTCCCAGCTGGGCGTCAGGGAGCCCAGTTGCTGCCTGAAAAGGCCTGTGCCTCTCCGCTCCATCTCTCCATTACCCAGCTCTTCCGAGGCGGGAAAAGCAGCACAGCCAGGTTAGAGCTGGAAACATGCCTGTCACCCACGGCCGTGGCAAAGGGCCTTCATAACCCATCACGGGGCTCTGTCCGGGTGGGAGCCAAGCGCCAGGTTAGGGCTGGAAACACGCCTATCACCCACGGCCGTGGCAAAGGGCCTCCATAACCCATTATGGGGCTCTGTCCAGGCGGGAGCCAAGCGCCAGGTTAGGGTTGGAAACACGCCTGTCACCCACAGCCATGGCAAAGGGTCTCCATAACCCATCACGGGGCTCTGTCTGGGCGGGGGCCGAGCACCGCCTCCACACCATACCCTGAGCAGTCACTGCCAATCAGTCCAGCTGAGAACTCCCTGTATCTTTGCTCCAAGTCCGTCTGCCTCCCTGGGTGAGTGAACGGTGAGCAGCATCCAAGGCGCATGCCAGGAAATAGGAGGTGGGAGGCTGTGTTCTTGTTTGCTTGTTTGTTTGTTTGTTTTGAGATGGAGTCTTGCTCTGTCCCCAGGCGCCAGGCTGGAGCACAGTGGCACAATCTTGGCTCACTGCAATCTCTGCCTCCTGGGTTCAAGCAATTGTCCTACTTCAGCCTTTCTAGTAGCTGCGACTACAGGCGCACGCTACCACGCCCAGCTAATTTTTGCATTTTTTAGGAGGGACAGGGTTTCACCCTGTTGGCCAGGATGGTCTCAGTCTCTTGATCTTGTGCTCCGCCTGCCTCAGCCTCCTAAAGTGCTGGGATTACAGGCGTGAGCCACCGCGCCCGGCCATTCTTGTTTCTTTGAAATGAAGTTTTGCTCTTGTCTCCCAGGCTGGAGGACAGTAGCGTGATCTTGGCTCACTGCATCCTCTGCCTCCTGGGTTCAGGCGATTCTCCTGCCTCAGCCTCCCAAGCAGCTGGAATTGCAAGTACATGCCACCAAGCCCAGCTAATTATTTTTAGTAGAGGTGAAGTTTCACCATGTGGGCCAGGCTGCTCTTGAACTCCTGACTTCAGGTGATCCACCCACCTTGGCCTCGCAAAGTGCAGGGATGACAGGCTTGAGCCACCGCACCTGGCCTGTCTGTGTCTTTTGAGAGGCATCACAGCTCTGAAGCATTAGGCCAACCTCTGCCCTCAGTAAGCATGCCTCAGTTTCCTCTTCCAGATGGAGGCATCATGGTGAGAGTCTGATTGGAGGAGAATATGAAAATGTTTTCATAAAATAAATAAAAGTACGACACAGCTGTGAGGTGGTTTTGCCTTTGGAGAAAGTGCTCGTTAGATGCGTCTGGATATTATGCAGTCAGTGTGGATGGTGGGTTCTTTCCTCTGGCTGTTTTGTAGCCTGAGACGTGAGGTCGTTATCAGAAGAGGGAGAATAGGAAGTGTGGATCCGTGGAAGCTCATTCTTACAGGAATGATAAGATACACATTGAAGTACTTGCCGTGACGTGAGGTGTCACACGTCAGCCCTGAGATGCTGCTGGTGTCCCAGAGGACTTGGCATTTTATATTGCTCTGGGAATCACAGTCTAAATGTGCAGGTGCAGGCCGGGCATGGTGGCTCCCGCCTATAATCCGGCCACTTTGGGAGGCCAAGGCAGGCAGATCACTTGAGGTCAGGAGTTCGAGACCAGCCTGGCCAACACGGTGAAACCCCGTCTCTACTAAAAGTACACACACACAAAAAGTCAGGGGTGGTGGTGCATACCTGTAATCCCAGATACTCGGGAGGCTGAGGCATGAGAATCGCTTGAACCTGGGGACGAAGGTTGCAGTGAGCTGAGCGCATACCACTGTACTCCAGACTGGGCAATGGGAGAGAAACCCTCTCTCAAAAAAAAAAAAAAGAAAGAAAGAAAAGAAAAGCCAGGGGCATGGTGGCTCACACCTGTCAGCCCAGCACTTTGGGGGGCCAAGGCGGGTGGATCACCTAAGGTCAGGAGTTTGAGACCGGCTTGGCCAACATGGTGAAACCCTGTCTCTACTAAAAATACAAACAATTAGCCCTTTGGTGGCAGGCACCTGTAATCCCAGCTACTTGGGAGGCTGAGGCAGGAGAATCACTTGAACCCTGGAGGTGGAGGTTGACGTGAGCCGAGATCGCTCCATTCTGGATGATAAGAGCAAGACCCCGTCTTAAAAAAAAAAAAAAAAAAAAAAAAAAAAGAATGTGCAGATGCGCAGATGCTTTGGCACACGCAAGGCTGAGTGTGTTGTCTCTCCGGGATTTTATCCGTATGCTCAGAGAGGTTTTCCAAGTGTGGGGCAGTGTGGCAGGTCGCTGAGGGCTCTGGTCTGGGGCGAGAGCTACAGTCAGACCCGCCCCCACCACGCACACAGGCGTGCTGCCCTGTCTCCCAAACTGTGCTCAGCCCCTCAGAGCATCGCAGAAGCATGGCGTGGGTTGAACCAGGATTTTTAAACCAAGGAAAGAAAACAGCGCACGCGTCATCCGCAGTAGGATAAGTGCTGGTTCAGGAGACTTCGGGTTCGCTGTGTGTGCGTGTGTGTGCATTAACTGCCCACGGTTCCTTATGCCTGCTATGAGCGTGGAAACAGCTGGCTTTGGGCGAGCTCTGCGTGAATTCCGTGAGCCTCCGTTTCTGGATCTGAAGATGAGAGTCGGGCCTTGTCTCTTTCCATGGGGTTGAGAAGGTCAGGTGGCCCTTTCGGAACCTCCTATAGTGTTGAGTGCTTACGACACTCGGATATTAGCGGGAGAAAGGAAGATGGGCAGAGGCAACCGTCAGACAGACATGAAACATGCCTCACAAACTGTAAATTGTGGCATCCAGAAAGCACGGAGTCGTCATTGCCAACAGGATGTGTGTCTGAAAGGAGTCCAGACAAAGGAATAGGCTGCCTGGCTGTGCTGGCCCCCCGCTTTCAGCAGGTGAATGAGCCTTTGTGCCTCAGCTTTTCCATCTGCAAACTGGGTGTACAGATAGTATGCTTTTCATGGTTGTTGTGAGGATTGAAGGAATTTGTACACAGAGTTCTTTTGTTTATTTTTTCCGAGATGGAGTCTTGCTCTGTTGCCCAGGCTAGACTGTGGTGGTTCAATCTCGGTTCACTGCAACCTCCACCTCCCAGGTTCAAACCATTCTCCTGCCTCAGCCTCCCAAGTAGCTGGGATTACAGGCACCCACCACCATGCCTGGCTAATTTTTGTAGTTTTTAGTAGAGATGGACTTTCACCATGTTGGCCAGGCTGGTCTCGAACTCCTGACCTCAAGTGATCTGCCTGCCTCAGCCTCCCAAAGTGCTGGGGTTACAGGCGAGAGCCACTTCGCCCAGCACATAAAGCTCTTTCTTGGAGCAGAGCCTGAGTGTTCGCTGGCACTGTTTATTTCTCAGGGCTGGAGAGAAGACAGGTCAGGGCTTGCTGGTTTCTGTCACAGCACACCCTTTCCCTGAAGGAGGGAGTCGGGCCGTCCCTTCAGACAGGAAGCCCTCGGATCGCCCTGCCCTCTGGGAGCCTCTTCCTCTGGGCCAAGACGGGGAGCCCCTGCCTGCCCTGCCTTTCCAGCAGCTGGTGCCCCAAAGGTAGAATCTGTGGGCCAGGCCCCCCTCGCCTCCTGATGTGCCCAGGGCAGTTGTCCCTTCCCCCAGCTCTCCCCTCCGGGCCCCTGCTTGCCTCTTTCTTGAGCAGAGGCCAGAGGGAGAGAGGGAAGGACTCACTGGGAGGCCAGGTCTGTGGCTGGAGGGCTTGGGAAGAGGGCTGGACCCTCCACAGCCACAGCCTCAGTCAAGCTGTCCCTCCTCTCCTCCCTGAGCTGGGAGCCCCACCCTCCCCGGCTTAGCTAGTGAGGAGCTGAATCTTCCGCTCCTCAGGTGGCCTCACACAGAGGCCAGCTCGCTCCCAGCCCTCACCCCATTCCCACAGCTCTTCCTGATAGCAAAGCCATGCGCACGCACAGGGCCGATGGGCCTCCGTCCTGGCCTCTGGGTTGCTGGGGGATCACTTCTGGGCCCGTGCTGCTTCCTGGCGGACTCTAATGACAGGGAAAGCCTGGGGCCTGGGCTGAGGCAGGGGGTGAAGGAAAAAAGACGAAACCAAGCATTGTAATTCTGTATCCTGGAGGCTGGGGAGAGCTTGGGAGCTGTGTCTGGCCTGTGCTGGGGCCACAGGGTGTGAGGCCACTGCCCACAGGCCCTCCCGCCACTGGCCATGGCCGGCCCTCCTGGGGCAGACTCTCTTCTGGCCTCGAGTTGGGGTTTGCAGCCACGCTGTGCCCCAGGCTCTCCATCTGTGAAGCAGGTGCATGATGCCTGCCTCCTGGGGCCCCAGTCCGTGGTGACTGAGGCGATGTGGCCAGGCCTTCCGGGCAGGAGGTAGAGGAAGTGGGCAGATTGTGTTCCCCTGTTTCGAAAGGCCATTTGCTGGGGGACGGAGTGGACCAACGGCTGTGTGAAGTCCCCAGGGAGAGCGGGGCAAGGGAGAAGCGGCCCAGGCCCATCTTCCCGAGACACACTTGGGCTGGGACCAGGGTGGAGGTCATTCAGGGTCCTCGCTGAGAACGCTCCGTGGTGAACTGGAGAGCCAGAGCCCGTCCCCACCCCAGCAATGGATGGGCACGAGCACCAAGGCAGGGTCGCTGTGCCTCGCCAGAGTTCTGTGTGGGTCACCCTGCCCCCAGCCCACCCTGCGTGGGTCACCCTGCCCCCACTCCACTCTGCTGCCCTCCCTGGGGGTCACCCTGCCCCCAGCCCACCCTGAGTGGGTCACCCTGCCCTCAGCCCACCCTGCATGGGTCACCCTGCCCCCACTCCACTCTGCTGCCCTCTCCGTGGGTCACCCTGCCCTCAGCCCACCCTGCGTGGGTCACCCTGCCCCCACTCCACTCTGCTGCCCTCTCCGTGGGTCACCCTGCCCTCAGCCCACCCTGCGTGGGTCACCCTGCCCCCAGCCCACCCTGCTGCCTTCAGGCCTATGTGTGGGACTTCACCAGAGAAAAACACCTGCCATAAGGGTCCTGGCCACATGCCCAGCCCTGTCCCCTCCCACCAGGGGAAATCAGTAGTGAGAGCCAAGGCCCCCATCATGTCATGGGAGCTGTCTGATGCCCCACGCACGGGCCCGTCCTGTGACTGGCGGGGTGAGCATCCGTTTCTCCTTTCGCAGACAGGGTGGGGGACGCTGAGCAGGAAGCAGAACCATGCATCTTGTCCCTGCGTGGGTGGCAGATGGGTGCTTCCTCAGCAGCTTCTGAGAAGTCCCGGCCGTGGCGTTCCCAGGACGGATCCTGCCCCCCGATTCCTTCCTCAGTGGGGACTGTGCCAAGGCAGGGACCAGAATTTGGGGACTTGATGGCGATGCAGGCTCCTCCGTGGGGTCCTGCCTCGTGCTGGAAAGGATAAACTCTTATGCCAATGTCAATCCTGAAGCTGGTTCCATGTCCTTCGTGGAGGGTGGGGAGTCCCCAACGCTTTCAGCCCAGCCACCGGTGCTTGGGAGCACACTCTTTCCTTGCTCCTGCCACCTGTTCCTTCTGCTCCCTGCCTTCTGTCTCCATGCCTCCCTACCCCCCACTCCTCCACCTGCCCAGCTCTTCAAGGCCCTGGTATATCTGCCTCCTCCATGCAGCCCTCCAGGCTACTCCAGCACAACCTTGGAACCACATGGTGGGTAACAGCACCGCCGTATCTCACATTGCCCATGAGAACCACGGGCAAGGAGGTGGTATGGCAGCAAATAAACAAACAAAATAGAATAAAATGTGGGGAAGCACACTGAAGACGATGCCTGCAGGTCTAAGTACCCCCAGTCCTGCTGCTGGTCTTGGAAGCAATGGCGTCAGCTGCAGCCAGTGCTGGGGGTTGGTCCCTGTGTCTGGGGGTTGGTCCTTGTGTCCACCTCACCGTCTACACTGCAGGCCCTGGAGCATCTTGGTATAGACAGGCAGGCGCTGGGAACACGTCTGAGACTGGAGGCCACACCACGTGCTGTGGGAGGGGCCATCGTGGTCTCTAAGCAATGTCTGCCACAGGGTGGGAGGTAGTGGGAGACCCGTGAAGCCCCGTCCCTCTCCGTGTACCGAGTGACGGGAACTTGGACTATCAGCGAGGCCAGGCTGGTCTGGAATACCTTCTGGTCCTGCCCCTCTGAGTCCCGGAAACACGTCGTTTCTTCTACGTGGTGGAGGAAACAGCGGAAGGCCTGAGTCCCAGTCAACCCTCCTTTCCACTGGTCAGGAGCTCCTAACTCAGGGCACAGGCGACTGTGGGAGAAAGATGAGGTCCTGTTATAGCAGCACAGGCTGCGGCTGAGCTCAGGCGCATGGCCGGGGAGCAGACCGTGGCACCGCCCCTCGGGCCTGGCAGGGCGGTTAGGACAGGTGCCCGCGCCGAGCATGTGGCCAGCTGGGGCCTGTGGCAGTGGCTCCTGAATACAAAGCGTGCTTCAGGGCTCTGCCTTTGCCGCCTTGTCCAGGCAGGACCTGGGCCGAGGGAAGGGCTGACGGTCACCCCCGGGCCTGCCAGCACACTGGCGTGTTCATCCCCCGCCTCTGCTCTCTCCTCCTCACGTCCTCCCAGCCCATGAAACCCCTGAAGGCCACAGCCACCACCTCCCAGCCCGTGCTCACCATCCAGCAGATCGAGACCATCTTCTACAAGATCCAGGACATCTACGAGATCCACAAGGAGTTCTACGACAGCCTGTGCCCCAAGGTGCAGCAGTGGGACAGCCAGGTCACCATGGGCCACCTCTTCCAGAAGCTGGTGAGTACTGGGACAGGGGGCCTCACACAGCGGGGTAGCAGAGCTGAGAGTGTTGAAAAGAGCTTCCAGAGAGGACCGGGCGACCCTCTCAACCTCCTTGCAGGCCTGGGTCCGCTCTGAGTCCTGGAGGAAAGCTGGGGCCTGTGCATCATGGGGCACCTGGGCCAGGGCCTGACTCCAGGCCTCCCGTGGTGCGCTCTGGGAGTGCTTCTAGGGGTGGTGGAGATGGGCTGGGGGCGTGGAGATTCTAGGCATGGTGGAGACAGGCTGGGAGGGTGGAGATTCTAGGCGTGGTAGAGAAGGGCCGGAGGGATGGAGATTCTAGGGGTGGTGGAGACGGGCCGGGTGGGTGGAGACTCTAGGGGTGGTGGAGACGGGCTGGGAGGGTGGAGATTCTAGGGGTGGTGGAGACGGGCCAGGTGGGTGGAGACTCTAGGGGTGGTGGAGACGGGCTGGGGGGACGGAGACTCTAGGGGTGGTGGAGATGGGCCGGGAGGGTGGAGATTCTAGGGGTGGTGGAGACGGGCTGGGGGGACGGAGACGGGCTGGGGGGACGGAGACTCTAGGGGTGGTCGAGACGGGCTGGTGGTGGGGGCCCAAGGCCGGCTCCCCTGAGACCTCAGTGATCCACTGTGTCCCAGGCTGCCTCTGTAAAAGGAAGCAGTGTGCATCAGCCAGTGATCCTCTCCTGAGGTCCCAAGAGCAAGAGGCACTAAAAGTCCAGCCCTGCCCACTATTTCGGGATGGGGAGTGTGGCCGGCGGGGTGGTTAACATGCAGACTTAGTGCTGGGAAAGGCCCACAGACGTCTTCTGCTCCCTGGGGCCTCTGTGACACCCTTTCCCCCAGCTCTGCCCCATGTCTGGCTGTGTCCCCTGGGGGAGCCCTGGTCACGCCATTGGAGTCCCCGATATAACATCTGACAGCCTGCAGGCAAGGAGACTGGGAGTCCAGGTTGTGGTTCTCCTCCGGGTGTGAGTGGCCCCGGGGCCGCCTCCTCCTCCCTGCCTGAGGCTGGCTGAATGAACAGAGCTCCGCCTTTTTCTCACACTGGGAAAAACTCCTACCTGGACACTCATCGGGTGTCTAGCTGAGCATGTTCAAAGCTGAGCGTGTTCAAAGCTGAGCGTGTTCAAAGCTGAGCTGCTCGTCTGTGGCGTGATCTGCTCTGCTTCCCGTCTTCATCTCAGTGAGTGCGTTGGACCCGCTCTTGGCACACACCCCCGCCCCCCTGTCCTGTGGGGCCCTCTTTTTGGCCGTTGCTCGCAGCCTCCGTGTCCTCCTGCCCCCCCGCTCTCCATGGCCCTCACCTGCGCAGCTGTGGACCCTCCAGTGTGGCTGCTGCCTCCAGGCCCGCTCCTCTACCACCCCACCTCTCCTTAGTGGGGAGAGAGTCGCCAAACCCCAGCTCCCCTCGACCCTCGGATGAGACCAGGCTGTGAGGAACGGACCCTTGGCACGCTGAGCTGAGCTGTGCCCGGGCCGGGCATGCTGCCTCCTCCCCGCACTCCTGCTCCTGACACCAGACGTTCTGTTCTCAGTTCCCGGGGCAGGCACTTCCTGACCTCCTCCTGCTGGAAGCCCTGTCTGCCTGAAGTGTCCTTCCCCCTCGTCTGGCTTCTCCTGCTCAGTCCCCAGCTTAGAAGGGACCTCCTCCAAGAAGGCTTTCCAAGCCCCCAAATGCAGGCCTGGTGCCAGTCCCCGTCATGAGCGCCAGTAACTGAGTGACTCCCCCAGACCACGAGCTCCAGGGGGCGGACTGCGTTTTCTTTTCTTTTTTTTTTTTTTTTTTTTTTTTTGAGACAGAGTCTCCCTCTGTCATCCAGGCTGGAGTGCAGTGGCGCAATCTCGGCTCACTGTAATCTCCGCCTCCTGGGTTCAAGCAATTCCCCTGCCCCAGCCTCCCGAGTAGCTGGGACTACAGGTGTGTGCCACCATGCCCAGCTAATTTTGGATTTTTTAGTAAAGACAGGGTTTCACCATGTTGGTCAGGATGGTCTCGATCTCCTGACCTCGTGATCTGCCCACCTCAGCCTCCCAAAGTGCTGGAATTACAGGTATGAGCCTCTGCACCCGGCCCTCATTTTTTTTTTTTTTTTTTTTTTTGACACAGAGTCTTGCTCTGTGGCCCAGGCTGGAATGTAGTGGCACAGTCTCGGCTCACTGCAACCTCTGCCTCCGAGGTTCAAACGAATCTCCTTCTTCAGCCTCCTGAGTAGCTGAGACTACAGGTGCCCGCCACCATATCCAGCTAATTTTTTGTATTTTTAGTAGAGACGGGGTTTCACCTTGTTGGCCAAGCTGGTCTCAAGCTCCTGACCTCAGGTGATCCTCCTGCCTCGGCCTCCCAAAGTGCTGGGATTACAGGTGTGAGCCACCACACCCGGCCTGCATTTTCATGTTCTTAGACCCCCAGAACAGGTCCAGTGGTCCTGCATGATTGAGTGAACACACCAGGACCTTGACCATTGGAGAACTCAAAATGGGCTCAAGTCTCAGCTCTGCCAGATCAAACTTGCAACTGGGCAACTTACCCAGGCGCTCTAACTCCGATTCCTCATCTGTAACAATGAGGACAGCCATAGTATTTACCTCACTGGGTTATTTCAAGGAATGAGTTAATATCTGAAAAGCGCATGGGGCTGGATGCAGTGGCTTATACCTGTAACCACAGCACTTTGGGAGGCTGAAGCTAGAGGATTACTGGAGGCCTAGAGTTCAAGACCAGCCTGGGCAACATAGCAAGACCCTGTCTCTACATAGAAATAGAGTTGGCCGGACGTCCTGGCTCACGCCTGTAATCCCAGCACTTTGGGAGGCCAAGGTGGGTGGATCACCTGAGGTCAAGAGTTTGAGACCAGCCTGGCCAACATGGTGAAACCCCGTCTCTACTAAAAATACAAAAATTAGCATGGCGTGGTAACACACACCTGAGATCCCAGCTACTACTCGGGAGGCTGAGTTGACAGAATGGCTTGAACTCGGGAGGTGGAGGTCAGTGAGCCAAGATCGCACCACTACACTCCAGCCTGGGCCACAGAGTAAGATTCCGTCTCAAAAAAAAAAAAAAAAAAAAAAAAAAAAAGAATAAAGTAGAAAGGGAAGTGCTTGGAACAGTGCCTGGAACATTGTAAATTAATAAGTTCTCAATAACTAGTCATTATCATTAGTGCCATGATTATTATTATTAAATTGGGTAGATGTGGGCCAGGCGCAATGGCTCATGCCTGTAATCCCAGCACTTTGGGAGGCCAAGGCGGGTGGATCACCTGAGGTCGGGAGTTCAAGACCAGCCTTGACCAACATGGAGAAACCCCATGTTGATCTCTCATAACATTAAATGTCAAATTTTAACCCCATGTTAAAATGCAAAATTACCTGGGCATGGTGGCATATACCTATAGTCCCAGCTGCTCAGGAGGCTGAGGCAGGAGAATGGCTTGAACCCGGGAGGCAGAGGTTGCAGTGAGCTGAGATCACACCACTGCACTCCAGCCTGGGTGACAAGAGCAAAACTTTGTCTCAAACAAAAAAAATAAATAAATATACAAACAAACAACAAATAAATAAATTGGGAGGAGACACCCAGCAGGCATCCTTTTGAGGGAGCGGCACACATGTTCTTCTCACAGACCCAGCTGCCCCTTCAGTTCAGGGGTGGTGGACGCCCGTCCTCACTGCCTGGTCACCTGAGCTGGCTTCAGGGGCATCCTCTGCCCATCCCTCAGGAGGGCGGGGGAGAGCAAGCCCTGTGGCAGCGAGCTTCTCTGTCGCTTGGGTCTGGCCGTCCCCTGTTCTGGCCCTGGCTCCACAGGCCTGGCCGTGTATCTGCCACCCACTGCCTTCCCTCCCCGGCGTCATGAACTAGTGTCTGAGGCCCCCGGGGCTGCAGGCCTGGCATCTGGAAGCGGTTTATTTTCAGCTGAAGTCTCTGGGTATTTGATTATTCATTTCCTAGAGAAGGGAATTAGCATCTCTGCTGTTTGTTTTATGAGATCACCCCAGTGCCAGGCTGCCGTTCCCAAGCAACCTGCCCTTTCCAGCTAATGAACCTGGTGGGCGGGCCCTCAGGCCCTACAGCCTGGGGTGACCGTGGCCTGGCTCACGGCTGGTGGTGTGCCAACCTGCACAGCCAGGTATTCTCGTGGGAAAGGGAGCAAGAGGGGCCCTTTCCTGGAAGAACGTCGGCCATGTGTCCTTTGGCTTAGGAAGCAAACTATACCTCCTGTAGGGTGGGCACTGATGGGCTGGGCCTCACTGCTCCCTGGAAAAGGAAATAAACACCATTCCTTCCTACCCCGCCCCACTTTCTAAAGTCCGGCCCCCATGCTGCTGAGAGCCGAACACCTCTGGCCTTGGTTTCACCCCAGGCGCCCCCATTCTCTCTCCACTCTCTGGTTTCTCCAGATGCCCACTCCTGTGCCCACCAGCTCCCTCGAAGGGCTCCCCTGGGAGGCTCCAGGCTCAGCCGATGCAGCCAGCCTGCCCCCACCCCATCCCCACCGTCTGCAGGTTCTTGCGGAGCACGAGGTTCCTGCCGAAAGTGGGGTGATCATGGGTTGGGGTCTGCAGCAGCCACTCCCCGCAACAGGCCATGGAGACAGCAGCTGTATCTCCCTTGCTGCTATACTAAAAAAGCTTGAAACCAAAAAACCCAGAGAATAACACAGCAAAACCTTGCAATCAAGACAGTAAAGCATCACGCATAGAGGTGGATTCTCCCCTCCCCGCCCCCCACTTTCGAAGCGGCTACGGGCGTGATTTGGTGGATAGCTTCTAGACTGCAGTTTGTGCCTTTACTGCGTTCCTACTTTGGGCTTGGCATGTACTTAAAAAAAAAAAAAAAAAAAAAGCTCGTGGTTCGTGTGTGAAAGTGGATTTGCTGAGCAGTAGACAGGCTGTGCCTGTCCTCAGCTTTATTAGTTCCACTGTTTCAGTGTTAGTAGTTACTAGCAAATTGCTCTCCAAATAATTGTCCTAATTTCCACTCCCCCGAGTGGTCTGTAAGAGTGTAAATTTCCCCATATGCTTGCCAGCCCCTGCTGTCAATCAGACTTGTAAATTTTTACCCTTCCGAGGAATATAAAATATCTCACTCTGGTTTTAATTTGAATTTCTACCCTTTGCTCCTCTAAGAGGAAGTGCATATACACCGCCCAGAGAAGGCTTTCCGTAAATATTTGGGGAATTGGCTTAGCCTCAGTTTCCCCTTTTGCAGAAGGGGCGATGGCATGTGCTGTGGCTGTCAGAGGAGGTGAGGCCGTCCGTGGCTGTGAATCAGGAAAAGCTTGTGTTTGATTCTCAGTGGTGGGCAAATGTGTCGTGAGGCAGGGGCTTTGGCTCCTTGGGGATAGAGGAGGTGGAAGAGGTGAGGACAGGGACCCCGAGGCCAAGGGAGGAAAGACAGCACCTTCATGTGTTGTTTTGTTTTGTTTTTGAGACGGAGTCTCACTCTGTCACTCAGGCTGGAGTGCTGTGGCGTGATCTCAGCTCACTGCAACCTCCGCCTCCCAAGTTCAAGTGATTCTCCCACCTCAGTCTCCTGAGTAGCTGGGACCACAGGCGCGCCACCAACCGTGCCTGGCTAATTTTTGCGTTTTTAGTAGCCACAGGGTTTCAGCATGTTGGCCAGGCTGGTCTCGAACTCCTGACCTCAGGTGATCCTCCCGCCTCGGCCTCCCAAAGTGCTGGGATTACAGGCGTGAGCCACCGTGCCCGGCCCAGAAGGTACCTTTCCATGCTGCGCCCCACACTCTACATGGGGAGGAAGACCTAAGCAGGCCACATGTGCCAGCTCCCCGCAGCACACACACTCCCGCCTCTCCCTGCTCTGGCTAATTCCAGGATGTGAAGGAAGTATGAGACATTAAGGGATTTCAGACCCTGGGAGGCCTTGATGATGCCGAGGAAAACGAGACGCTGTGATGAGTTGAATTTCTAGCAGGCCGACAAAGGCCCTATCCCTGTCTCCCCAACCCCAGACCTCATTGTTAGCCTTATTGGCTAAGCTAGTTTCCATGGAAACTGTCAAGTTCAAAGGGACGGTGTAACATGTTCATCCTTGCCTCTCCTCCGGTTCCCAGCTCACCCCGTGGAGCTGAGTTAGAGGTTTTCAGCGCCCGGGTGCTCCAGGTGCTCTGCGAAGCTTTCATCCATTCACTAATCCTCTCCCCTCCCGCTCCCCTCCTCTCTTCTGCTCCCCGACTCCTCCCTGCAGGCCAGCCAGCTTGGTGTGTACAAAGCGTTTGTGGATAACTACAAAGTCGCTCTGGAGACAGCTGAGAAGTGCAGCCAGTCCAACAACCAGTTCCAGAAGATCTCAGAGGTAGGCAGCTCCTGGCACAGCCACCCTGGCGGACGAAAGCGGGCACTGGGGGAGCTCAGAGCCTTCCCGGCCTCAGGTCTCCGCTCCCTCGCTTGCCAGCCGGTGAGGTGGTTACTCCAACGCGTGACACGTAGCCTCATGTTTGCTTTCTTGCACCTGACGTTTTCCCTCTTAATATAAAACTACTTTTTTTAATTATTATTCTCTTTCAGATTAGAGAGAGGAATAAGGGAGGCAAAAAAAAAAAAGTAAGGCAGTTTTCTCCCACGCTCGGGTGACCCTGAGCAAGTGACTTCCCTCCTCTCAGCCTTCGTTTCCTGTCCCGTAGAATGAGGGCTTTACACTTGGCCAGCTCATCCTTTTTTTAAGACGGAGTTTTGCTGTCGCCAGGCTTCGCCTCCCGGGTTCAAGCAATTCTCCTGCCTCAGCCTCCTGAGTAGCTGGGACTGCAAGTGCCCACCACCACGCCCGACTAACTTTTGTTTCTTTAGTAGCTACGGGGTTTCGCCATGTTGGCCAGGCTGGTCTCGAACTCAGGTGATGTGCCCGCCTCATCCTCCCACGGTGCTGGGATTACAGGTGTGAGCCGCTGAGCCCGGCTTGGCCAGCTAGTCCTAATCTTGCTGATAGGCATCAGCGGGCACTGTGATTTAAAACACAGATTTCCAGGCACCTTCCCTGGAGCTTCTGATTCGGGAGCTTTGGGTGGGGCCCAAGATTCTCTATTTGAACAAGCTTCTGGGTGATTTTTATGAACGGGAAGACTTGAGGAAATTTGGACTCGGTTGTCTTTGAAGATCCTCGCCCACTCTAAGCCTGCAGTTCCATAAACAGAGAGGGCAGGAGCCACTCGTGGAGAAGTGGAACCCCAGCTGGGAACGGGCCTGTGTCTGCCTCTGCGCCTCTGCCTTCGTCTGTCCTCCTCTGCAGGGCAGACGTGCGGCCCCCATCTGCCACTCACATTTCTACCCAGGAGGAGGTGTGGAGGGGACAGCTGCTCTGGGTCCTTCAGGACAGAGCCCAGCTCATCCCTTTGTCCAAAAAGACGGTGGTGACACCCTACAGCACTGGGTGCTTGCGGGAACAGCACCCAGCTGCCAGTTCGGGGCGAGAGAACCTAGAACGAGGGAGAGGCTTCAGTTCTGGGGTTCTGCCCTACAGGCCCCCCCTTGGCCCTTTGTGTTCCCCGTCTCGGCTCTAATGCTGAAAGAGCTGGGGAGATGCAGGATGGCTTTCTGGAAACTTCAGGGGTGCAGGGTGATGCCCAGGTTTAGAATCCTCCAAGAGGCAGCCGGGGTGCCGGGCAGATGGAGACAGGCGGGTCAGCTTGGTGACTGTTAGGGCGCAGCTTGGAGGACGCGGATTTGCATCTGTGGCCAGAGTGGGCTTGCTGGCACTTCTCCTCTGGAATTAAATGTATCTATTGAGGCCGGCGCGGTGACTCATGCCTGTCATCCCAGCACTTGGGGAGGCCGAGGCGGGTGGGTCACCAGAGCTCAGGAGTGTGAGAGCAGCCTGACCAACATGGTGAAGCCCCATCTCTACTAAAATACAAGAATTAGCCAGGCATGGTGGCGGGTACCTGTAATCCCAGCTACTTAGGAGGCTGAGGCAGGAGAATCGTTTGAACCGGAGAGGCGGAGTTTGCAGTGAGCTGAGATCACACCACTGCACTCCAGCCTGGGCCACAGGGCAAGACTCTGTCTTTAAAAAAAAAAAAAAAAAAAAAGTGTCTCTTGAGTCCCTTGCAGAATGGGGAACCACAGGCCCTCCCCACACTGAGGACAGAGCCCACCCCTCTCACCCTGTGTGCAGAGAGAGGAGCGCTGACCAGTTTCTTCTCCCAGACCCATGGAACAGAGGAGTTACCCTCTGCCTGGGAGGATGAAGTGCGGGATGGGGAAGTCCCTCTACACGGTGTCAAGAGGCTGGAGAGGCTGGGCGAGGTGGCTCACGCCTGTAATCCCAGCACTGTGGGAGACCAAGGCGGGAGCATGGCTTGAGCCCAGGGATTCGAGACCGGCCTGGGCAACATGGCAAGACCCTGTCTCTATTAAAAATACAAATAAAAGAGGCTGGAGAAACGGTGCTTCCCCTCTCGGTTCCCAGCCCAAGCCGGGAACTACCCAACTGCCCTGGTCCATGTTCAGAGCAGCCCAGCCAGGACCACCCGAGAGCCCATGGTCCCACATGGTCCAGAGAGTGTGGCCTCAGCTCTCGGCCTGGGCTGGCTGCCTGTTGTCTGTGCATGGACAGCAGCCCCCGCCCCAGCCGTGAGCCCCTCTCAAAGGCTGCCCACCCCGGAGGGCAGAGCCGCCAGTGGCTCTCCGCCAGGTGGCTCCTCCTCCTCAGTCACTTGATGAGGCGCTTGCTTCCTGCTGGCGCTGCCACCTAATTATGGCAATTAGGCTCTTCCCTGCAGCAGGAGTGATTTCATAGCCCCGGCTTTGCTGGAGGGGGCGCGAAAGAAAAATTCCCTGAATCTGGGAATCCAGGCACCAGCCAGAGACACAACCTAGAGAAGCTGAGTAACCCCCACCCTCCCTGTCCCCCAAAATATACACACACCCAAGCTCAGTCCCCGGGAGTTTTCCCTGTCTAGAAACAGCTTGAGACAGATGCAGGAAGCTCCTGCTTTCTGGGGGCTTCCTTCTCTCCAGGCTGAGCAAGTGACGTCACCTGGGCTCCTGACCTTGGCCTCGCCTTGCCCCCCATCTTCCCTCCCACGCCCCTGTTTGACGCTCTGCTTGCTTTGTCTGCCAAGTGGGGATCGCATTACAGCTCGAATTACAGGTGACACCGCCACTACACCGTCCTGTGAGCAGAAGCTGAGGCTGGAACCTCTAGAGGAGGGTGACAGAGGCCTGCAGCGGACGAGTCCTCCCTGCGTCTGTTTCCAGGACTCACTGCCTATTGCCTAGCTCGGGGTCCAGGAGGACAGGCTGTTTCTCCCCCTCACCCTCTTGGAGGACACCCAGCACAGGCCGTGGTGGTGGGTGGGGAGCGTCGGGGTGCTGGGGGCTGAGGAAGTTCCCTCTGATGGGGGTAGGATGCGTCTCTGCCCCAGGCCCGCCGTTTCGCTGCCTGCCCTGTGCAGGTGTGTGGGACCCCCTCCCTCTCTCACTGGCTGCTCACGCTCTGAAGATCGGATGGCGCTTGTCAGCTCCACCCCTGTCTGCCAACGTGTAGGATTCCTGAGTAGGGGCTCCTGGGAGGGTTTCTTGTAACCTCAGGGCTCCTTGCCAGCCCCTCTCCTCTCTGGGACCTGGAGTCCCTTCCTTCTTGCCCATGCCCCAGCTGCTGGACTCTACAAGGCTCCAGGAGCTCACAGCTATGGGTGCAGGGGATGGGGATGTCAAGGCAGAGGTCCATGGCCACGGGCTCCTTTGTCTCTGTTCTCGTTTTTTCTTTTTTTTTTTGTTTTTTGTTTTTTTGTTTTTGTTTTTTTTTTTGAGATGGCGTCTCGGTATGTTTCCCAGGCAGGAGTGCAGTGGCACGATCTCAGCTCACTGCAACCTCCGCCTCCCGGGTTCAAGCAGTTCCGCTGCCTCAGCGTCCCGAGTAGCTGGGATTACAGGCACACGCCACCACACTCAGCTAATTTTCATATTTTTAGTAGAGATGGGGTTTCACCATGTTGGCCAGGCTGGTCTCGAATTCCTGACCTCAGGTGATCCACTCGCCTCAGCCTCCCAAAGTGCTGGGATGACAGGCGTGAGCCCCGCAGCGGCCTCCATTCTCAGACTTGCACCCTGAGTTTCAGAGCTCCCCTCCCTGCCGGGCTCACAGTGGGGGCTGGGGGCGGCGTTGGCAGACCAGGCAGTGATTCCTCTCCACCTTTTGGCAGGAGCTCAAGGTGAAAGGTCCCAAGGACTCGAAGGACAGCCACACCTCGGTCACCATGGAAGGTATCTCAGGGAGGGGCCGGGTTACTGTCACCTTCCTTTGTCTGGCCGTGTGGGCGCCAGGCTGCGTGAACGCGGCGCCCTTCCCCCTCACGCGCGCCTGAGTGTGAGTGTGAGCGCGCGTGAGCGTGTGTGCGCGCATGGGAGGACTCCAGCCTCGTGCCCGGGCAGCCAGCCAGCTACAAACGTGCTCCTCTTTAGGATGCCAGCAGGCTGCTGGGTCCCTCCTTCCCTGCCCCTCCTTCCTTCCCCCTCCCTCCTCTCCTCGCCACGCGCCTCCCGCCCCTCCCCCTAGCTGGAAGAGCACTCCGAAGCGGCTGCTGGATGCTGGGGACGGTGTGGCCGCTTCAGCAAGGTGGCTGAGTGGCCAGTGGGGCTGCTGGTGGGCACCGGGGTCCTGGAGCGATGGCTGTGCGCTCCCGCTGTGCGGACAGAGGCTGCCATGGAGATTCTCCTCATTATTCGCTTCTGCTGTAACTGCACCTATGGTAACCCAGGTGCCCGCTGTGGGAGGTGGCGGACCCTCCCACCTCTGCGACTGGCTGGAGTGGGCTTGAATGTGCCGGCAAGGCCTGGGGGCCATAGGGAGGGAGGGTGGGCAGCCGGCTGGCCCTGAATCTCCCTTCGTTTTGGCCAGCATCCCGCCTAGAGTTGAAACCTGGGGGATGCTCAGGGCAGGGCTGCTTGGAGATGAAGGACCAGGCTGGCGGGTCCAGGTGCTCCTGGGGATGGGCGGGGACGGGGTGGCTAGTGTGGGAGAACTTCCCGCAGGGGCTGTTAGGGACGGACGGTGATGAGCTGTGCCTGCAGACACAGCAGCCCTGAGGCCAGGGAGAGGGTTTGTGGGGGCCAGGCGCCTTGTGGGGACAGGTGATGAGGGGTGGCGATGGTCTGGACAGGTGATGATGGTGCCAGCTGAGGGGACCAGTGCGAGCTGGAGGGAGAAGTTGGGAGTTTCTTTGTTTCTGGAGCGAGGAGCGGAGGCTGGGCGGCGGGTATTGTGCTCCCAGGCACATGCTGCGGCGGGGGGTGGCGGGCGGCGGGGACACGGAGCGGCTGTGGAAGAGGAAGGAGCCCAAAGGCTTGTTTCCAGCCTTGAGAGACTCTCGAGCTGAGGTCCGGGCACAGGACTGTGGAAGGCAGGTCGGCAGGACCAGCGGGAGGGGGTGTGGCAGGAGGCTTTGTGAAGGTCACACACATGCCACCGGTCAGCGGGACGGCCCGGGCCATCCTCCTGGTAGCCCCTGCCACTGACGGGGCAACAGGGCGTCCTGGACAGGTGCACGTTATCAGCAGGGCTGGTGGTCATAGGACGGGGAAGCCGCCCCTGGCAGGGAAGTGTCCAGGAGACCGTGGACTCTGGCCCAAGAGGCACGGCGTGCCAGGGGTGCCTGCCTGCCGGTGGCAGGGAGGGGGTGGGCTCGGGTGGCTCCCAGGCCCGCTGCTCTCGGTCCGAGTCTGTGGGAGCGGCGGGCGGCTCGTTCTAGGACCTTCCTCTTCCTTCCCACCAGGTGCTTGGGCTCTGCGCCCTCCTCAGTCACCCTGCTTTCCTGTCTCCCTGGTAACCCGGAGCTCCTTGGAGCTGAAGGGAGGGGGGGTGGCAGCTTGCTGGAGGAGGGGCTGTCCGTCTCCTGGGCTCTTTCCCAGGCGGCTGCGCTGGACGGGCCGCGTGGCACCATCACCCCCTGACCCTCTCAGGATCCTTGTGATGGAAGCAGCCTCCGAGGTGGCCTCTCACCTGCGACTCAGCAGGACGGCCCCGGGAACCCCGTCCTCACTTGAAATTGGCCTGGTCAGAGGGGAAATGGTCTTTTTGGTCTGGCCTAGGACTTGGTCAGGTCTCAACTCTGCCTTCCTGAAAAAGAAATGTGCCCTGCTCGGCTTCCTCTCCCTTCCCCAAAAGGAAGCTTCGACTTGGTGAGCCAGACCCGGACCTGGAGTTCACGCTGCTCTGGCCTCTGTGATTCTGCCTTTGAGGTCAGCTTCACAGTGGTAATGAGGACTGAAAGGGCCAGCTCGTGAGGATGGGGCTCACCCCATCCTGGTCACTCTTTCCAAGAACCCTCCTGTGGCTCATTGAGATTTTCCAGGGGCTGCCCTCCCCTGAGGAGGGGGCAGTCAACACGAGGAGCGGAGTGTGGGTGGGTCTACATTCAAAGCCCAGTTCCCTCCACCTGTAGCTCAGGACGGTGAGCGAGCCGAACACCCCCCGACCTCAGTTGCCTTGTCTGTAAAGTGGGGCCAGTGAGAATTGCTTCCCTTTTTAATCACAGGAAATAATGCAAGCAAAGCTGTTCCCTCAGAATCCTTGGGCACAGAGCGAGTACCCAGCCAACCACAGAGAGACCAGCTTGCTGCCCAAGTCAGGGAAGAGTGGGGAGAGTGGGTGAGGTGGGCAGGAAGCAGGGCAGTCTGCCGGAGCTTGGGACGCAGGAAGGCCAGAGTGAGCGCCTCATCCTGCCTTCTTGTGGGGCGTGGGGAGCACCAACATCAGGGCCGCCCTCGTTCCCCGTTCCCTCCCAATGTGACGTCGTCCCGGTGCCCTTTCCCGGAGCACCTGTCCCCCAGCCGCCCTCCCGGGCTCATTCTGCAGCCCTGCTCAGGTGGACTCTGACCATCTGAAACCCAACCTGCCCTGTGTGCCTCTGAGCTTCGTCAGAAACCTCTTCCTCCTGGGACCCGCCAGAGGGCTGCAGGAGCCGTAATGTGGTATCAGCTTTCCCTGGGGCCGCAGCTCCGGGCCCCACCCCAGCAGGTATCTGCTGAGCTCATGCTTTCTTGGGGTCCCTGGGGCTCTAGAGTGTGAATTTTTGCCCTGAAGATGGGCTGAGCCACAGGTGGGTTCCTTAAGCAGCCTCAGAAATGGATCCCACCTGAGCTGGGAACTGGGCTGTACCTTCAGCGCCCCAGGATAGCCCAAGACTGGTCTCGTTAATTCAAGCTTCCGTGGTGCATGGAGCGTCTCTGGAAATTGCTAGATACGCAAGGGCTACAGGTTTGTTACATGAAATGTATTTACCTAACCAGGGGTTGGCCGAGTTTGATGGCTCCTGCTGGTAATCCCAGCATTTGGCAGACCGAGGCAGGAGGATTGCTTGAGGCCAGGAGTTCGAGACCAGCTTGAGCAACATAGTGAGACCTTGTTTCTATGTTTACTTATTTATTTATTTATTTTGAGACAGAATCTCGCTCTGTCATCCAGGCTGGAGTGCAGTGGCGTGATCTCAGCTCACTGCAACCTCCACCTCCCGGATTTAAGAGATTCCCCTGCCTCAGCCTCCCGAGTAGCTGGCATTACAGGCACCTGCACACCTGGCTAGTTTTTGTATTTTTAATAGAGAGGGGTTTCACCTTGTTGGCCAAGCTGGTCTCGAACTCCTGACCTCAAGTGATCCACCCCCGCCTTCAGCCTCCCAGAGTGCTGGGATGACAGGCAGGAGCCACCGCATCTGGCCCCTTGTCTCCATATTTAAAAAAAAAAATTAAATACATACATAAACCATAAAGCAGTGGTTTTCAGTCATTATCTTACATTTGAATCAGTAAAGAAGCTTTTTAAAAATGCTGAATGCCCATGCAGTCTTGCGGAGATGTGGGTTTAGTTGGCGGGGCTGGGGGCAGGCATCTGGGTCTTTTCACAGCCACACCCCGTCCCAGTGATGTTGACGGGCAGTGGAGCTAGGCCTGCAGATAAGGCTGGTGGCCCTGCTGGGGCTGCATCTTCCTGGCAGCGGGCATACTGCTCCTGAAGCGTCTGCGTGGCTGCACAGCGCGGGGTATTCCTATCTGCAGCTTTGAAGAACCCTTGGGTTTGGGGCCCAGCTTGGGCATGGGTGCTGGCGCTGGGATCTGTCACAGCGGGTCCTATGGGACAGCCAGTCGGGGAATCCTTCCCAGGGACCATCCTGCCTCTCACTGCTCCCGTGGCCAGGGGCCAAGGTGGTGACCCCAGGGACAGAGCGCCCAGGTGCAGGATGGAAAGCTGAGCCTCCGTTTTGGGAGCGGACGCAGCTGCGAGCGGGAAGGGCATTGGGAAGTGTCGGTCTGGCAGCTGCCACCTCCGCCTGTCCCTGCTGCTTCCCCGCCCTCCGCACTGGGCCGCTTGACATGTGGGTTGTGGAGGCTGCAGCTCTCGGGGGCTGGCTGGCCTCGCCTGCGTTCCCCCAGCCTCTGTGCGGCCGTCCTGTGCAAGGCCTGGCCTGAGCTGCTTCAGGAAACCTTTGCCCCTCAGGCTGCCATGTGTTTGAGAGCAGAGACTTTTTTTTTTTTTTTTTTTGAGACAGAGTTTCACTCTTTTCACTTAGGCTGGAGTGCAGTGGTGCAATCTCGGCTCACTGCAGCCTCCGCCTCCCGGGTTCAAGTGATTCTCCTGCCTCAGCCTCCAGAGTAGCTGGGATTACAGGCACATGCCACTATGCCCGGCTAATTTTTCTATTTTTAGTAGAGACGGGGTTTCACCGTGTTGGCCAGGCTGGTCTTGGAGAGCAGAGCCTCTCTGTGGAGATCAAGCCAGGCTCCCTGGCCTCCAACCTATCCTGGGCTTGCTGTCTGGGGTTTGAGGATGTGGGGAAGAGTCTTCCTCTGAGAGATGAGGCCTGTCCTATGGGTTACAGCGAAGCTCGCCAATCCTAGCTAGCTGTGCCGGGCCATCAGCTGCAGAGGCTGAGGCTGATAAGGGTGCTGCCTCTCCTGAAAACGCAGCATTTCTCCTTCCCCCATTCTGGGGTCCTGGGGATGGCCAGTGTGCTGGAGTCTTCAGGGCGCAGCTGGGTGGAGCTGTGTGATTCGGGCTGGGGTGCTGGGGCCCGTCTGCCTTGAGCCAGGTGAGGCCAGGACCGGCTTGGGGCCGGCTGGAGGAAGCATCGCCTGACGGGAGGGGATCCCGGGCTGCCGGGGCTGTGCATCACCTGTGTCTGCTGCGTAGTCTGCCCTGGGAGGGAGAGCCGGGGTGGAGGCTGCCGTGGGCCCCCTGTGCCATCCCTTGGGTGGGTGTTCCTGGGGGTGTGTGCTGGTGGGGGTGAAGCTGGCCCACTGTGCTGTCCCTCGGATGGGTGTTCCCAGGGGGGGCATGTGGGTGGGGGTGAAGCTGGCCCACTGTGCTGTCCCTCGGGTGGGTGTCCCCGGGGGGGGCATGCGGGTGGGGGTGAAGCTGGCCCACTGTGCTGTCCCTCGGGTGGGTGTTCATGGGGGGTGTGAAGGTGGGGGTGAAGCTGGCCCACTGAGCCGTCCCTTGGGTGGGTGTTCACGGGGGGTGTGAGGGTGGGGGTGAAGCTGGCCCACTGTGCTGTCCCTCAGGTGGGTGTTCACAGGGGGCATGTGAGTGGGGGTGAAGCTGGCCCACTGTGCCGTTCCTTGGGTGGGTGTTCCCAAGGGGGCATGCATGTGGGGGTGAAGCTGGCCCACTGTGCCGTCCCTCAGGTGGGTGTTCCGGGGGGGGCCTGAGGGTGGGGGGCGAAGCTGGCCTCTGAGGCGCTAGGTTGCCCTTGTCCACCGTCTTCCTCCCGCCTCCCCACAGCTCTGCTCTACAAGCCCATTGACCGTGTCACCCGGAGCACCCTCGTCCTACATGTGAGTGTCAAGCCCCCAAGTGGCCAGAGAGCATAGGAGCTCCTCGGGATACTGAGCCGGGTCAGAGGGTGCCAGAGTGTCTGAGAACAGCCCAAGAGGGGAATTGGGGTTCCCAGGGCCCGAGGATGCCCGCCTGGCCCTTGGTCACCATGTCAGCAGGCCAGGGCCTCAGTACAGCTTGGCCACTAAGCTGGACACTGGGTCTGGTGCTCCCCAGAAGGCAGGCACTTCCTGCTCCCCACCTGCTGCCTCCTGGTCTCCAGGAGGAGACCACTGCAGGATGGGCACAGAGGCCTCTCCCCCAGCTGCTCAGCGGGATGAGCCTCCACCTGGTGTCCCCACTAGGGAAAGAATAGTGACAGCAGCAGGGAAAAATGGAGGCAGCCAGGGCCCTCGTCCCTCACCCCTCACCCCTCACCCCTCACCCCTCACCCCTCACCCTTCACCCCTCACCCCTCACCCTTCACCCTCACCCCTGCTGCACTGGCTCTGATTTTTTTTTTTTTTTTTTTTTTTTGAGATGGAATCTTGCTCTGTCACCCAGGCTGGAGTGCAGTAGCGCGATCTCGGCTCACTGCAACCTCTGCCTCCTGGGTTCAAGCGATTCTCCTGCCTCAGCCTCCCCAGTAGCTGGGATCACATGCGCCTACCACCACTCCTGGCTAGTTTTTGTATTTTTAGTAGAGACGGGGTTTCGCCATGCTGGTCGGGCTGGCCTCGAACTCCCGACCTCAGGTGATGTGCCCGCCTCAGCCTCCCAGAGCACTGGGATTACAGGTGTGAGCCACTGCACCCAGCCTGCCTTTGATTTGTAGTTCAGATTTTGCAGGAATTCAGTGGGTCCCTTAGTGTCTGCCCTCTGAATTCTTTTGGTGAGGACTGAGGACCCCCGTGGCTTCCCCTCGAGCCCCTCAGCCCACGGCCCGCCCTCCACAGGATCTACTGAAGCACACGCCCGTGGACCACCCCGACTACCCGCTGCTGCAGGATGCCCTTCGCATCTCCCAGAACTTCCTGTCCAGCATCAATGAGGACATCGACCCCCGCCGGACTGCAGTCACCACCCCCAAGGGGGAGGTGAGCCCAGGGCCCAGCACGACCCCGCACCCAGGCTGAGAAGTAGGGTCGGCCAGACCCCATGTCCCCTTCTCTCATGCACAGGCAGTGCTGTGTGCCCCGGCCTCTCCAGACCATTCTCCATCCCCAGCCAAGGAGAGGCCCTCAGTCCTCGGTCACCCTGATGACCTGCGGCATCCCCGGGCCTAGGCCGAGAGCTTTAAATCCAGTGTCTCATGAATCCTCACAATAATCGAGTGGCTCACGCCTATCTTCCCACCACTTTGGGAGGCCAAGCTGGGAGGATCACTTGAAGTCAGGAGTTCTCGAGACCAGCTTGGCCAACACAGTGAAGCCCAGTCTCTACTAAAAATACAAAAATCAGCCGGGCATGGTGGCAGGTGCCTGTAGTCCCAGCTACTCTGGAGGCTGATGTGGGAGAATCACTTGAACGAGGGAGGCAGAGAATTCAGTGAGCCCAGATCACGCCGCTGCACTCCAGCCTTGGTGACAGAGTGAGACTCTGTCTCAAAAACAATAATAATCCAGTGAGCCAGAAGAGGTCACTGAGGCTGGACAGTCCCCAGGTCTGCCGCAGGCGTCTGAGCTGGATTGTTCACCTGGGCTGTCTGGACGCCTGTGCGTTCTGCCCCACACCGGGGAAGCTGGCCTCTGGCCTCGTGCTCCTTGAATGCGGACACCTGCCTCTGGCCAGTGTGGGACTGTCGGGGTCCCGGGGAAGCTGAGGGGGCAGGAGCTTGCAGCTGCTTCAGCGCGGCCTGCACAGGCGGCAGCTCGGGGAAGCCTGCAGCAGGAGAGGCTGTTGGGACGTCCAGTGGGCACCTGGATGGGGGGCAGCCGTTCCCTGGGGCCCTTTGCGGTGGAAGAGCCAGGGCAGCCCAGCGAGGGGAGAACAAGGAAGCCTGAGGGGCACAGTTGCCTCGTGGGTCAGCAGCTGGACCCACACAAAACACCTTCTCAGGGGAGGTCATGAGGTGACCCTGGGGAGCAAGGCTGACTGTGTTTTCGCTCCTCTGGTCTGTTTACGAGCCCCCAGGGTCTCCTGGGGGGAGAGTGGTGAGGGGCAGTCCTGGGGAGTGTCCACTGGGCAGAGAGAGCCGATTCTGAGTGGTTCCTGGTGCTGGCATGCAGCGTCAGGGGAGACCCTCGCCTGTTTCACTCCGGGGCATCTGAAAAATCTCCAGGGCTTTTCGAACCCTCAGCTTTCACTCGTCTGTTTTTTGGTTTTTGGTTTTTTTTGAGACTGAGTCTCACTCCGTGGCCCGGGCTGGAGTGCCGTGGTGTGGTCTCGGTTCACTGCAGCCTCCACCTTGTCTCAGCCTCCCGAGTAGCTGGGATCACAGGTACCCACCACCACGCCCAGCTAATTTTTGTATTTTAGTAGAGATGGGGTTTCACTCTGTTGGCCAGGCTGGTCTTGAACTCCTAGCTCAAGTAATCCACTCACCTCAGCCTCCCTAAGTGCTGGGATAACAGGTGTGAGCCACTGCGCCCGGCCTCAGGCAGCTTAATTATATACTTTCAATACACTCACCTGCGTATCACAGCAGGTGTAAGTCATACCCAGTATCACACACACAGGAGCGGCTGGGATGGATGGTGACGGCCCCCAGCTCTGAGCAGGTGGGAGGGAACTCTGGGGGAACCAGAGCCAGGTCAGAGGGGGCTGCAGATCCCCTCTGGACACTGTTGCAGCCCCAGGGAGGACGGCCCAGGTCTCCCATCCCCGGGGGCTGGAGAAACCACGGAGAGGCCTGAGCGGGTCTCGGATCACGGTGGTTCCGGGACTAGATGAAGTCTGTGGCTTGGTCGGGAGGGGTTGCAGGTGAGCGTGTTAGTGCCCCGGGTGGAGGAACCGGGTGGTCCTGGGCAGGGGCGCAGGGGGTGGCCATGGAGAGCCCCACACTGTGCACACTTGCTGTGATGTTTTCCACGCACCACCTCTGTGAGTCGCCTTTGGGGAGACATCATTGTGCCCACTGTACAGAAGGTAAATCTGAGGTACAGAGAGGTCAGGGAGCCCAGCGAGATCCCAGCTGAGAAACCTGCCTGGATCCAAGCCCACGTCCGCGGGACTCCAGAGGCAGTGCTTTCGCCACCTTTGTTACGGGGTTGCAGGCCATACCGCCCCCTGGTTCAGCCCTCCCTGGCTGCCTGTGCCTTCGCGTGCAGGCTCGGCCCCCGTCCTGCTCCCCTCTGAGCAGCTGGGGGTCTTCCCTCTCCCTCAGACACGGCAGCTGGTGAAGGATGGCTTCCTGGTGGAAGTGTCGGAGAGCTCCCGGAAGCTGCGGCATGTGTTCCTCTTCACGGATGTCCTACTGTGTGCCAAGCTGAAGAAGACCTCTGCGGGGTGAGTGTGCAGGAGTCCAGGGGCATGGGGCAGGGGCAGTGGGACCAGACACTACCCCCCGATGCAGGCTTCGGCTACCTTGTGGGTTTTTCTTTTGAGTCAGAGTCTTGCTCTGTTGCCCAGGCTGGAGTGCAGTGGTGCATGCGATCTCCGCTCACCGCAACCTCTGCTTCTCGAGTTCAAGTGATTCTCCTGCCCCAGCCTCCCGAGCAGCTGGGGTTACAGGTGCCCACCACCACACCCAGCTAATTTTTCTATTTTTAGTAGAGACAGGGTTTCACCATGTTGGCCAGGCTGGTCTTGATCTCTTGACCTCAGGTGATCCTTCTGCCTCAGCCTCTCAAAGTGCTGGGATTACAGGCATGAGCCATCACACCCAGCCAGCTTTTCCTTTTTTTTTTTTTTTAGACAAAGTCTTACTCTGTCGCCCAGGCTGGAGTGCAGTGGTGCAATCTCAGCTCACCACGACCTCCGCCTCCCAGGTCCAAGTGATTCTCCTGCCTCAGCCTCCCAAGTAGCTAGGACCACAGGCACGTGCCACCACACCCCGCTAATTTTTTGTACTTTTAGTAGAGGCGGGGTTTCACAGTGTTACCAGGATGGTCTGGATCTCCTGACCTCATGATCCACCCACCTCAGCCTCCCAAGGTGCTGGAATTACAGACGTGAGCCACTGCACCCGGCTGCTTTTTCCTTTTAAAAAAAAAAAATCTATGGGCTGGGCGCAGTGGCTCACGCCTATAATCCCAGCACTTTGGGAGGCCGAGGCAGGCAGATCACAAGGTCAAGAGATGAAGACCATCCTGGCTAACGCAGTGAAACCCCGTCTCTACTAAAAATACAAAAATTAGCTGGACGTTGTGATGTGCACCTGTGGTCCCAGCTACTCAGGAGGCTGAGGCAGGAGAATTGCTTGAACCTGGGAGGCGGAGGTTGCGGTGAGCCGAGATCACTACACTGCACTCCAGCCTGGTACCCATCAACGGAGCGAGACTCTGTCTCAAAAAAAAAAAAAATCTGTGAATTAATTTAATCTCACTACATAGCCCTTTTTTTCCTGAGAATAAGGCATGTTTTTAATTACGACGATAATATAAGGACATTAGAGGAAACGCCGTCACCACTGAAGCATAAGCATCAGTCTCCTGCCGAGACGCTTCCTTCCCTGTGTTTCAATGTTCTCCCGTTCCTGCGCAGCCGTCGTCAGAGCGAATGCCCGGCTGGGGCCTCTGCCGCTCTGTTTTGCATTTTCCCTGTTGCTGCCTCGTCCTCGTCATCATCATCTTGCTTCCCTCACGACGTTAGCGGTGGATGTGCCATTACTTAAGCCTTCTCCTTGTATTAGACCTCTCCGAGTTCTTGCTGACTGCAGCACTGAATATTCATCCCAGCTCCTGCTACTGTTATCAAGGGTTTAGGCCATGCCAGGTGCCGTGACAGATGCTTTGAATGCATTATTTCTAGTCCTCCCAGCAGCTCCGCTAAGGAGTGACTGTTGCTCCCTTGTCATGGGTGAGAGAGAGGCATCGGAGAAGGTAGATGAGCTGCCCGTGGTTGCCCAGCTGGAGGCACAGGTGGAATCAGAGCCCCACAGAATGTGAAAGCGGCCTGGTGCCTCCATCTCTGTACTCGGGAACATAGGTCTGCACTGTGCCCTGAGCAGAGAGGCTCATTCAGTTCTACTCACACACTCTTGCACATTTCCTGATCACCTTCAGTGTGCCAAGCACACCCCTTCTCACCGCTGAGAAGTGGCGGTCCGCATCCAAACCCATGTCTGTGCGACTCCAAAGCCAGTGTGCTCGCCACCAGGCTATCTTTCCTCTGCCTTCAGCCCCCCCGGCTGGCTGTGCCTCTGAGTACTGCACAGGTTCAGCAAGCCAGGAGCCCACCACAGCACTCAAGGGTCAGAATGAGAAGTGCAAATCTAAGTCCTAGGGGAAGGATCGATCATTATGAACTTCAGTAAAGGGCAAGGCTGGTCGGGTGCAGTGGCTCATGCCTGTAATCCCAGCACTTTGGGAGGCCGAGGTGGGTGGGTCACCTGAGGTCAGGAGTTTGAGACCAGCCTGGCCAACATGGTGAAACCCTGTCTCTACTGAAATTACAAAAATTAGCTGGGCATGGTGGCATGCGCCTGTAATCCTAGCTACTTGTGGGGCTGAGCCAGGAGAATCACTTGAACCCTGGAGGTAGAGGTTGCAGTGAGTGGAGATCATGCCATTGCATTCCAGTCTGGACAATGAGCAAAACTCCATCTCACTAAGTAAAATAATAATAATAATAATAAAGAGCCTGACTCTCTGAACTCGGTCATGTTTGAGATAGTTCTAAGGCACAGATGGTGATAATAAGCACACACACCTCTGCCTGTCATCCTTTGCCATGGCAGACATTACTAATCAATCAACTATGGCAGACATTCCTAATTTGGGCACGCTTTCTTGCTAGACTTGGATGTGGCTTGTAATCCTTCATCCAGTGTAGACCCATGTGACCTCCCTTGATAAGAGTTGGCATTCTGAATAACACCTGTATTCCAGCGCTAGCCTGAAGGATAATGAACGTGGATAGTCTAGAAGGGAAGGAGGGTGTGGAATGGGGTAGGAATCTGTGAACCCGGCTGAGGGGGCTTTGCTCTTGATACCCCAGTGATCTGGGGCGTTTGACAGCATGAGTCATCTGGGCCAGCAGCCTGGGAAGGTGGGCGGGCGTCAGTGTGTGTGTGGTTCCAGACCTAGGGCTTCGGCTGGAAGAACCCTCCCACTTTGGCTCACATCTCCCTCCGGCTCGCTTGCAGGAAGCACCAGCAGTATGACTGTAAGTGGTACATCCCCCTGGCCGACCTGGTGTTTCCGTCCCCCGAGGAGTCTGAGGCCAGCCCCCAGGTGCAGCCCTTCCCAGACCATGAGCTGGAGGACATGAAGATGAAGATCTCTACCCTCAAGAGTGAAATTCAGAAGGAGGTGAGCAGCACTTGGCCTCCGAGCCAGGGACGCTTTGAGGCAGGGGTGCCGGGGGAAGTGGAGGCGGGAAGTTATCAGCTTTGAGAGTTTGAGAGGGAGCCCTTGAGTGTGTACTTACTAAGGGAAAGGTCCTGAATGCAGTAGCTCTGAGCAGATAGAGGAGGTCAGTGCTCAGGGTTTCATGGGGGCTGATTGTGGCAGGTGTCCTGGAAAGCAGCTCAGGTCGAACAGGACAGAAAGAGGAAGCAAGCGGCCGGGCGCGGTGCCTCCCGCCTGTGATCCCAGCGCTTTGGGAGGCTGAGGCGGGTGGATCACCTGAGACCAGGAGTTTGAGACCCGCCTGACCAACATGGCAAAACCCTGTCTCCTAAAGTACAAAAATAAGCCGGGCATGGTGGCATGCACCTATAATCCCAGCTACCCTGGAGGCTGAGGCAGGAGAGTTGCTTGAACCTGGGAGGCGGAGGTTGCAGTGAGCTGAGATCATGCCATTACACTCCAGCCTGGACAACACAGTGAGACTCTGTCTAAGAAAAAAGTGGGGGAGGGAGAAGCAAGAGAAGAAAAAGCGGCTTTTGTAAGGAAAAGCAGGAGCTGTGTAAGGAAAAGGAGCTGGGAAGACGCTCAGAAACAGACGGATCAAGTAGGCAAATAAGGAGAGAGAGACCCTGAATGCCACAGTTAACATGCTTGACCTAAAAATGCAAGGAGGCTTGTGCCCTGACAGAAAACTCTGATTCTTGTCACACATGTGTGGAACATTCACATTTATCCTATAATAGGCCACCAAAGAAATCCCAAAAGTTTTCAAAAAGTTGATAGCATGCAAGTCACGTTCACAGACAAAGTGGAGTGAAATTAGAAACGAACAAGGACATTGGTTAGCCCAAGCGTGACGGCTCACACCTGTCATCCCTGCACTTTCGGAGGCCGGGGGGCGAGGCGGGGTGGTGGATCACCTGAGGTCAAGAGTTTGAGACCAGCCTGGCCAACATGGTGAAACCCCATCTCTACTAAAAATACAAAGTTAGCTGGTCATGGTAGCAGGTGCCTGTAATCCCAGCTACTCAGGAGACTTGAGACAGGAGAATTCCTTGAACCCAGGAGGCAGAGGCCACGGTAAGCTGAGATCGTGCTGCTGCACTCCAGAGCCTGGACAACAAAGTAAGACTCTGTCTCCAAAACCAAAAAGAGAATATTGGTTAGCCATGTGTTTGGAAGTTCAAACTGACAAGGTAATGAGGAAATCAAAATGGGAACTACAACCTGTTTAGACCTGCCTGAGAATGATCGTCCTACATACCAGTACCGCTGGATGCAGCCAAAGCGCTGTTGAGAGGAAAATGCATAGCCTTCGATTCCTGTATTCAGAAACAGTGCTAGAGGAAGGCATCACCAGAGGAGCCTTCCCAGGGCGCTGAAGGGACGGCCTGGAGTGGCTTGGTCCGCTTGGTCTCTTCCTCACCTCTCAGGTTCAGCTTAGGCCTCACCTCCGTGGAAGCTTTTCTGACACCCTCCCCGACCACAGCGTGGGCTGGGTGCCCTGTCCGCAGATCCTGATGTTCACCTGTGGCTTTGCTTTGATGCTGCTGAATTATAGTTGCATCGTCAGCCTCATCTCTTCCCCACTAGAATTTGAACTTCAGTGAGGGGGGTATTTTCTTTTATGTTCCTAATACTTGACACATAAAAAGTAGGTACTAAGGGCCCAGCACAGTGGCTGACACCTGTAATCCTAGCACTTTGGGAGGCAAAGGCAGGTGGATCATGAGGTCAGGAGGTCAACACCAGCCTGACCAACATGGTGAAGCCTGTCTCTACTAAAAATACAAAAATTAGCCGGGCGTGGTGGCGTACACACGCACACCTGTAATCCCACCTACTAAGGAGGCCGAGGTAGGAGAATTGCTTAAAACCTAGGAGGCGGAGGTTGCAGTGAGCCAAGATGGCACCATTGCACTCTAGCCTGGGCAACAGAGTGAGTGAGACTCCTCCTGGGAAAAAAAAAAAAAGGTACTCAGTAAATGGTTATTGAAGAAAACGTGACCAGATGGTCTCTGTAAGGGTTCTTTCAACCCAAGGGCCTCTCTTTGAACTGGGAAAAGGAAGAGCCCTGTTACAGCCCCAGGGGGTTGAGGGCAGGGGGATGCCCTACGGCAGAGAGTCTGATTGGGGGGCATCTGCCTGAGGGAGCTCCCTCACCAGCACGGCTGTCCCCTCCCGCATGGCCCGGAGTCTCTGCCCAGTAGCATCCAGCGTGCCTGTATCTTGCCCCTGGGGTCAGTAGGCTTCCTGCCCTCCCGCTGCCGCCACTGCACAGACATGGCCTCCGACTCAGTCGTGTCACTGAGCTCTCTGGCTCTGCGGCCTGGGGTGTGCCGGGTGCCATCTGCATTCCCTGGCCGGTGGAGGAAGCAGACACACCCCTTGCTGACCACAGAGCAAGGCACGTGTGGTGACTCACTGGAGAGGCCCCGGTGTCGCCCTCTGAGTCACAGAAGCAGCAGTGATTTGTTCTTCTAATAAGAATGTTTAAAACTCATGTTTTTCTAATCCCCAGTGCAATACTGGCTTGTAATAATGAGAAATGCTCACGGCACCAGCATGTACAGGTGGTCGCCACCCACCTCCCATCACTGACAGTTTGAGGTGTAGTCTTCTAAATTCTGCATATACCGGTGTATCCGTGTGTGCATGTGCATACGTGTGCATGAGAATGGGTGTACAGTGTACATGTGTCTGTGTGGGTGGGTGTGCATGTGCATGCATGTGTGTACGTGTGTGCATGCAAGTTTGCACGACAGTGGGTGGGTGGGTGCCAGTGTGCGTGCAAGTGTGTGAGTGCATGCCTGAGTGCGTGTGCATGTGTAGGTGGGTGTGCATGTGTGTGGGTCGGTGTGCATGCATGTGTGGGTGTATGAGTATACGTGGGTGTGTGCACGAGTGTGTGAGTGGATGTGGGTGGATGTGTGCCTGAGTGTGTGTGCATGGGTGTGTGAAAGTCCATGCACGTGTTTGCATGTGCAAGTGTGTGTGTGCGTGAGTATGCGTGCATGGGTGTGCGCGCAAGTGTGCATGTGTGGATGTGCACACGAGTACATGCGTTGGGGGGTGTGCACGAGTGCATGTGTATGCGTGTGTGAGTGGGTGTGTGCACCCAAGTGTGTACGTGTGCGTGTGTGCACGAATGTGCCTGTGTGTGGGTGGTGGGCACGTGTGTGTGCCTGGGTGTGTGTGCAAGTGTGTGTGGGTACATGTGTGTACAATGAGACTAGACTACACGTGCTGACCTGTAGCTTGAGCATTTCATGTCACAGTGCATCTTTGAGCCCTTTGGATGCATCAGATTCTTTTTTTGTTTTGTTTTTTTGAGATGGAGTCTTGCCCTGTCACCCAGGCTGGGGTGCAGTGGTGCAATCTCAGCTCAGTGCAACTTCCACCTCCCAGATTCAAGCTATTCTCCTGCCTCAGCCTCCAGAGTAGCTGGGATTACAGCACGTGCCACCCTGCCCAGCTAATTTTTGCATTTTTAATAGAGTCGGGGTTTTGCCATGTTCGCCAGGCTGGTCTCAAACTCCTGACCTCAGGTGATCTGCCCACCTCAGCCTCCCAAAGTGCTGGGATTACAGGTGTGAGCCACCGTGCCTGGCAATTTCAGATGCTTTTTTTTTTTTTTTTTTTTTTTGAGATGGAGTGTCATCAGGCTAAAGTGCAGTGGTGTGATCTCGACTCACCGCAACCTCCACCTCCCGGGTTCAAGTGATTCTCCTGCCTCAGTCTCCTAAGTAGCTGAAACTACAAGCATGTGCCACCACGCCCAGCTAATTTTTATATTTTTAGTAGAGATAGGGTTTCACCATGTTGGCCAGGATGGTCTCGATCTCTCGACTTCGTGATCCACCTGCCTTGGCCTCCCAGGGTGCTGGGATTACAGGCATGAGCCACGCCCCCAGCCCCTCAGATCCTTTTTGACAGCTGAATCCTGCTCTGCTGCTTCACCGCACACAACGTTTTTGGGTATTTAGATTGTTTCCGATCCGTCACTCTCAGCAGGCAGGTCCACGCAAACATCACGGCACACGTGCTTCTCTGCAGTAGCTTCCCTCCAGGGGGATGGTCGGGTGGAGTTAGTGCGCAGAGTTGCCCGGCTTACCTCTGAAAAAGTTGTGTCTGGTGACGTTCCCCCTGCGGTGAGCGAGACTCACTGTCCCCCACAGTGTCACAACACCAGCTGCAAACATTCATTACAATTTTGCCAGTCCAGTGAGTTTAAAAAAAAAAAAAACTACATAGATGAATTCTGGCTGAGGAGCTTAAGGACAATCTTGGGAGCTGAGACTTGAAGCATAATTGTGGTTAATAAAAGGGAGAGAATCCTTCATGAAACAGACAGAAACTTGGAACATTGAGCAGGCGACCTCTGCCAGCCATGGCTGGTTAGGGAGGGAGGCTGAGCCCAGGGGGCAGAGTGGGTTATCTGCTGGGCAGGGAGGCTGGAACCCTGCCATAAGGTCTGGGTGCCAGGCCAGCAGTCAGGGCTTTATGCGGAAAGGCGTCTGAGGTTTATTAAAGCAGGCGTCTCTGTTGTACCCAGGGTTTAACGTATGGAGGCGACAGGGCGACGGCACAGAGCTACCATCATATTCATATTGTTCAGGGCTCCCCAGAGAAGGAGGCGTAGGGCCCCGCCCAGGGCCACGTGGGGAGGCGCCAGCGTTGAACCGGAGGTGGGAGTGGAAGGAAGGTGTGGCCACAGCTTTCCTGTGTTTTCTGTGGAGAAACGGGAGGGCAGGGCAGGGAAAGGCTTGGCACTGGCTGACTTCAGCGATGTTGGCAGCCCTGGGCTGGAGGGGTGGAGGGCTGGTCTCTAGCGACCTGGGTCCTGGCCCTGGGTGGTATGGGGCAGAGGAGATGGCTGGCTTGGTGAGTGGGGGTCAGTAGGGAAGGTGCTTGGGATGCGGGCTCTGATCAGTTGTTAGGCGTATGAAAGGCGCTCACAGGGCGTCATGTAGTATCAGGAACCAGCGAGCCCTGGATGGAGCTGTTTCTCACCCAGGTACCCCTGCTCCTGCCCCAAGGTGTCAAAACATCACGAAATACAGAAAATGTAAAGAGCACGGCCAGGCGCGTGGTTCACGCCTGTCATCCCAGCGCTTTGGGAGGCCGAGGCAGGCGGATCACAAGGTCAGGAGAGCGAGACCAGCCTGGCCACAGTGAAACCCCATCTCTACTAAAATGACAAAAATTAGCTGGGCGTGGTGGCGCGTGCCTGTAGTCCCAGCTATTTGGGAGGCCGAGGCAGGAGAATCGCTTGAACCTGGGAGGTGGAGGCCACAGTTAGCTGAGATCACACCACTCACTGCACTCCAACCTGGGCAACACAGTGAGACTGTCTCAAAAAAAAAAGGCCATGATTAACGGGAATGTTGTGCTGAGCAGGGCCTGTGAGAAGGGGTGTCCGAGTGTGAGGGACCCTCCTTGTCCCCGTCTCCTGCAGAAAGCCAACAAAGGCCAGAGCCGGGCCATCGAGCGCCTAAAGAAGAAGATGTTTGAGAACGAATTCCTGCTGCTGCTCAACTCCCCCACAATCCCCTTCAGGATCCACAATCGCAATGGAAAGGTCAGGAGGGTGGGGTGGGACAGGACACCCCTGCTTAGTCCTGCACTGCCTGCCCTGGGGCTCCTGGCCCTGACCTGCAGGAATCAGAGGCTCAGGCCCCCTATTCCTAAGGAGGCTGCCATGGCTCCGACTGTTGACTCATGCTCCCAACTCATGTGGAGTTAGTGCCCTCTGCTGGTCTTTCCTGGCACGGCGCTCCTGTCACCTTGGCTTCCCAGGAAGGAGCTCCTCCTCCCCCCACCACCCCCAGCTACCTCCTCCAAGGTCAGCGGTGCCTGATAAGGAGAAGCTTTGGGCCAGCACAGTGGCTCAGGCCTGTAATCTCAGCACTTTGGGAGGATGAGGCGGGCAGATCACGTGAAGTCAGGAATTTGAGAGCAACCTGGTTAACATGGTGAAAGCCCGTCTCTACTAAAAATACAAAAATTAGCTGGGCCTGGTGGTGCGTGCCTGTAGTCCCAGCTACCCTGGAGGCTGAGGCAGGAGAATCACTTGAACCCAGAAGGCAGAGGTTACAGTGAGCCAAGATCGTGCCATTGCACTCCAGCCTGGGCAACAAGAACAAAACTTTATCTTAAAAAAATATATATATGTATGTATGTATATATATATATATATATATATATATATAGAAGGAGCCCTGTCGGGGTCCCCGTGTCTGGGAAGGTGCCTGGAGCCCTGTCGGGGTCCCCGTGTCTGGGAGGGTGCTTGGCCCAACTGTGGCCACAATGGCATTGTCACCTCCTCTCTTCAGAGTTACCTGTTCCTGCTGTCTTCGGACTACGAGAGGTCGGAGTGGAGAGAAGCGATTCAGAAACTGCAGAAGAAGGGTAAAGCCCGGCCCCGCACACTCCCCAGTGGCATTTCGTACCCAGTGTCTCCTCTGTGGCCCTCACAGTCACCCTTGAAGGTGCCAGGGAGGTGGCATTGAAGGATGTTACAGATTAATTGAGACCCAAAGAATTTTTTTTTTTTTTTTTTTTGAGACAGAGTTTCGCTCTTGTTACCCAGGCTGGAGTGCAATGGCGGGATCTCGGCTCACCGCAACCTCCGCCTCCTGGGTTCAGGCAATTCTCCTGCCTCAGCCTCCTGAGTAGCTGAGATTACAGGCACGTGCCACCATGCCCAGCTAATTTTTTGTATTTTTAGTAGAGACGGGGTTTCACCATGTTGACCAGGATGGTCTCGATCTCTTGACCTCGTGATCCACCCGCCTCGGCCTCCCAAAGTGCTGGGATTACAAGCTTGAGCCACCGCGCCCGGCGGAGACCCAAAGAATTTTAAGTGATTTGCTTAAAAAGATGACTTAGTGCTGGGACTGGACCCAGAGCCCACCCTGGGCGCACACTCGCTCTTGCGCTCTGTCTCCCCCTTTTTCTCTGTGTCTCTCTCACTGTCTCACAGACACACACATGCGCGCACACACACGCCAGGTGCAGTGGCTCATGCCTATAATCCCAGCACTGCAGGTGGATCACCTGAGGTCAGGAGTTCGAGACCAGCCTAGCCAATGTGGTGAAACCCTGTCTCTATTAAAAATACAAAAATTAGCTGGGCATGGTAGCATGAGCCTATAGCCCCAGCTACTCGGGAGGCTGAGGCAGGAGAATCCCTTGAACCTGGGAGGTGGAGGTTGCAGTGAGCCAAGATCACGCCACTGCACTCCAGCCTGGGTGACAAAACAAGACTCCATCTCAAAAAAGCGAACACACGCACACGCACACATGCACGCGCACACGCACACACGCAAACCTCTTCGGTTAGAGTCTCCTGCCCTGACCCCTCTGACAGCACCTACACCAGCCCCCACATGCCCACAAGTCCTCCCCCACCCTCCCAGGGACCAACTCTGCCCCAGGGATTATGCTGTTTTCCTGCAGCAGCCCCAGGGAAGAGCAGCAGGTCTTAGTGGACCACTGCCGACACTCCCTTCTCCCTTGGCTCTCCCTTCAGATCTTCAGGCCTTTGTCCTGAGCTCAGTGGAGCTCCAGGTGCTCACGGGATCCTGTTTCAAGCTTAGGACTGTACACAACATTCCTGTCACCAGCAATAAAGACGGTAAGTTCTGGAGCCCGAGGATCCCCACCGGCAGGTCCCAGCCCCTGCAACGTTGCTGGCTTCCCCTAAGGACCCAGATAGACACGTGGCTGTGAATGACTGATCCCTGCTCGGCTTTGCTGAGACTGTCCAGTGGTCAGGGATACAGCCTGGATGAGGCGACTGCCTGCTGAGTTCCGGGGAACCCCACCTTTTCCTCGGGCCCCTCATCTGGCATGAGAGAAGAGCTGGCCCTGGTACGCTGAGATTGTGCTGTTAGTATGTTCGTGAGATAGGGAGCGGGCAGATAAAACAGCATATGGGAAGGAAGGCTGGAAGTTTCCGGCACCAGCTCTTGAAAGGTCTCCAACACCAAGCAAGGAAGTCTGGAGTTCAGACTGTAAGCGCAGGAGCGCGTAGGGGTTTCTGGGCAGAAGAGGGCGGCGGTCAGCACTGGAGCTGAGGCAGAGTGCTGGATTCTAGCTGCCTGCGGTGCTGGGGATGGGCCACTTTGTGAGCAGGGTTCTGAAGGGAAGCTTTCCTCCACCTAGGAGGGGCGTCCAGGGACCCCGTGTCCCAGGCAGGGGCATGGCTGGGCCTTCTCCACTTCACTAGCAGATTGATTGATCGTATGGCTGTTTTTGCCACCAGGGTAGGAAGGATTCAGAGGGAGGAGCGGTACCCGTGGGGGATGGTTCTGAGTCCTGGGCGGGGGATGGCTGAGCCAGGAGCCGTCCAGGGGCAGCTCACGTCCCAGGAAGCCGTGGGCTTCGGAAATGTTTCCCTCCGGCCACTAGGTGGCGACATTGGACCGAGACACGGGCTGAGCCTCCCACCAGCTTGGGCGGACAGAGCCGCTGACCACCTGCCACCCTGGGGGCCTTTCTCTCTTGCAGACGACGAGTCTCCGGGACTCTACGGCTTCCTTCACGTCATCGTCCACTCCGCCAAGGGATTCAAGCAATCAGCCAGTAAGTTGGGCGGGCCACTGCGGGTCCTGCTGTGCTCTGTTCTGCCCAGGCGGGGGGCCGCCAGCTTGCCTTTAGCCATGGGGCATCCCCAGAAGGCCAGAAGCCAGCTCCTCCCAGCAGGGAGGTCACCCCTGCCCTCCTTCTTCAATGCCCTCTTTCTCAAGCCCCACTCCCACCCCAACGCTGTCTGAAACCCTAGAGCGACAGAACACGTGGACCCCAATTCACATCCGCCCCTGACAGGCTGTAGGACCTTGGGCAAGTTTCTTAACCTCTCTGGGCCTCCACAAACAGGCAGTCATGCTTATGAGTTTTGACCTGAGAGCCGGCTGAGATACGACTGTGTTTGTGTGACACTGATGCCCGGCCACGCTCACCCCTTTTTCTCCCCTTTTCTGTGGTCTCCTAAATCTGTAGATTCGTCATCCTAAATTTGTTTTGGTGTTTCATAAAATAGGAGTGTTGTTTTCTGAATTTTTTTAATTTCTTTTTTTTTTAAAGATGGGGTTTCTCCATGTTGGTCAGGCTGGTCTTGAACTCCTGACCTCAGGTGATCCGCCCGCCTCAGCCTCCCAGAGTGCTGGGATTACAGGCATGAGCCACCACGCCCAGCCTGAGTGTAGTTTTTTTAAAAAAGAAAAATTTTTTGTAGAGACAGGTTCTTACTATGTTGCCCAAGCTGGTCTTGAACTCCTGGGCTCAAGCGACCCACCCACCTCAGCCTCCCAAAGGGCTGAGATCACAGGCATGAGCTATGATGCCCAGCCTGGTGGCACTTTTTATCCACACAGGAATTGGCAAGTCTAGACAGCTAAGAGTTTCTACCCATTTGCCAGAGGCGGTAACTGAGTCACAGAGACGAGGGAAGACTTAACCTCCGAGGGATCCTGACTCCTCCCTCTCCACCTGCCCTTCCCATTCCTCACTGGCAGGTTCGGTCTGCCCTCGCCCCCTCCCTGCCGCGCCCCATGCAGGTGATGCCGTGGCCATTAGATCGGCCTTGCCCAGGAAGCCTCCCTGAGTTCCTGGGGCAAACTGGCCTCCCTTCTTCGTGCAAGCTAGTTTTAGCAGCCACTGTGCTGTTTTGTTACAATGTGCTGCTCCCACTGTGAGTTCTCTGAGGCTGGGAACCAGGCTTCCTTTACCGTGGGATGAACAGGACTCAGAGATGCTGAGTGAAGTCGCCAATTTGCGGAGCCCCTGCCGTGCACTGGGGAAAGCGAGAGCGTGGCCGGCCCACGTGGGCTGTGTGTGGGCTGTGTGTGGGCCGGCATGGACTGCGTGTGGGCCGGCGTGGGCTGCATGTGGGCTGTGTGTGGGCCAGCATGGGCTGCGTGTGGGCTGTGTATGGGCCGGCATGGGCTGTGTGTGGGCCAGCGTGGGCTGTGTGTGGGGTGGCGTGGGCTGGCATGGGCTGCGTGTGGGCTGTGTGTGGGCCAGCATGGGCTGTGTGTGGGCTGGCGTGGGCTGCGTGTGGGCCGGCATGGGCTGCGTGTGGGCTGGTGTGTGGGCAAGCATGCACGTTCAAAGCCTGTGGTGGGTTCAAAGCCTGTGGCAGGTTCAAAGCCTTCTGGGCTCATGGCCTGCTCTGAGCCTCTGGCATCCTGCTGAGGTCACAAAAACCATCCCTGTTTTCCCCACGAGGGTGCTGAGGCACGGCGGGTTCCGGGTCCTTCCTGGGGTCGCACGGTAGCAGGTGGTGCAGCAGAGACCACGTCTTCTAGGCCCAGAGCCTGAGCTCTTCCCTTTAGGGTGCTTCTCAAAGTCTGGCCAGGACCTCCACACCGTTACTGGGGTGGCTGGTTAAGGTGGAAGCTTCCTGAATCCTCTCGAAACCCACAGACTCCCCTTCCTGGGGGCTGCCACTGAGGCATGTCTGGCTAGTGAGTGCCTCGGGACTGTCCCGCCTGCCCGTGTCTTTGCAGCACCCGGATGCCGCCCTCCTCCCTCTCCTGCTGCCCGTGGGCCGGGAGGTCCTCACCTCAGGGAGCCCCATCCGCACCTTGGGGAGCCCAGCCTGGGCAGGTGCCAGAACCGGCCAAGCTGCTCCAGAGTCTCTCCTTAGCCCCAGAGCATCCTCACTCCCTTCCCCCACCCCGCCCCTCACATGTCTGTTCTCACTCAGAGGTGAGGCCCTGTATCTGCAGCGTGGCTTCATGTCCCGCTAAACTCACAGCCTCCGGACAGGCAGGCCCAGGGTGTTGGCACCAAGGCCGTTCCTGTAGTGCAGACGGGGAACCCGGGAGAGAAGTCAGGTGATGTGTGCAGAGCAGGATGTGGACCTGGACGGTCTGATTCTGGAGCCCTCGCTCTGGCCCCGGGAGCTGTCCCCCAGCCCCTGAAGCGGGGTTTGCTCACACCAAGATCAGTCGTGAAGACAGCACTTCACGGCCCATCCCAGACGCACAGCCCCTCCCAGGTCAGGGCCAGGCCGGGGTGCTCAGCACCTCTGCGTTGTCCTGCGAACCCACAGCCATGCTCTGTGTGGTCTGATACCCGCCCCGGTCTCCTTCCTGTTGCCCCAGCCGGAGGCTTCTTGGAGCAGCTGCACTCTCCTTTCTGTGGGAAAGCTGCCTTTTTTTTTTTTTTTTTTTTTCGTTTAAACTTCTAAGTTGATATGATGTGGTACTGATAAGAGTATATATTTTGTATATTTAAAGTGGAGAGTTCTATAAATGTTAATTACATTTGCTTGTTCCAGATCTGAGTTCAAGTCCTGGATATAGTTGTTAATTTTCTGTCTCACTGATTTGTCTAATATTAACGTTGAAGTCTCCCACTATTATGTGGGAGTCTAAGTCTCTTCATAAGTCTTGTATGTCTGCGTATTCCTGTATTGGGTGCGTATATATTTAGGATCTTTAGCTCTTCTTGTTGTTGCATTGATCCTTTTTTTTTTTTTTTTGAGACGGAGTTTCGCTCTTGTTACCCAGGCTGGAGTGCAATGGCGCGATCTTGGCTCACCGCAACCTCCGCCTCCTGGGCTCAGGCAATTCTCCTGCCTCAGCCTCCTGAGTAGCTGGGATTACAGGCACGCGCCACCACGCCCAGCTAGTTTTTTGCATTTTTAGTAGAGACGGGGTTTCACCATGTTGACCAGGATGGTCTCGATCTCTCGACCTCGTGATCCACCCGCCTTGGCCTCCCAAAGTGCTGGGATTACAAGCTTGAGCCACTGTGCCCAGCCACATTGATCCTTTTATCATTATATAATGTCCTTCTTTGCTTCTTTTAATCTTTGTTGCTTAATTGTAACTTCTGCTTTTTTTTTTTTTTTGAGACGGAGTTTCGCTCTTGTTACCCAGGCTGGAGTGCAATGGCGCGATCTCGGCTCACCGCAACCTCCGCCTCCTGGGTTCAGGCAATTCTCCTGCCTCAGCCTCCCTAGTAGCTGGGACTACAGGCACGTGCCACCATGCCCAGCTAATTTTTGTATTTTTAGTAGAGACGGGGTTTCACCATGTTGACCGGGATGGTTTCGATCTCTTGACCTCCTGATCCACCCGCCTCGGCCTCCCAAAGTGCTGGGATTACAGGCGTGAGCCACCGCGCCCAGCCAACTTCTGCTTTTTATTTATTTATTTTAGCTCTCTGGTTGGTTGGTAAATCCTTCTCCATCCCTTGTTTTGAGTCTTTGTGTATCCTTGAATGTGAGATGGGTCTGGATGCAGCGTACTGATGGGTTTTAGTTTTTTATTCAAATTGCCTGTCTGTCTTTGGATTGGGGGATTTAGTCAATTTAAATTTAGAATTAATAATAATATATGTGAGTATAATACTGCCATTTAATGTTAGCTGGCTATTTTGCCCATTAGTTGATGTAAATTCTTCATTATATTGATGCTCTTTTTGATAATTTTTTTAGAAAGGCTGATACTGTTTGTTCCTTTCTATATGTAGTGGTTCTTTCAGAAGCTCTTGTAAAGCAGGCCTGGTGGTGATGAAATCTCTGAGTGCTTGCTTATTCACAAAAAACTTTATTTTTCCTTCACTTGTGAAGCTTAGTTTGGCTGGATGTGAAATTCTGGGTTGAAAATTCTTTTCTTTAAAGATGTTGAATATTGGCCCCCACTCTCTTCTGGCTTGTAGGGTTTCTGCTGAGAGATCTGCTGTAAGTCTGATAGGCTTCCCTTTGTGGGTAACCTGACCTTTCTCTCTGGCTGCCCTTAGTATTTTCTCCTTCATTTCAACCCTGGCGAATCTGACGATTATGTGCCTTGGAGTTGCTCTTCTTGAGGAATATCTCTGTGGTGTTCTCTGTATTACCTGGAGTTGAATATTATCCTGCCTTACTAAGTTGGGAAAATTTTCCTGAATAATGTCCTGAAGCGTATTTTCCAGCTTGGATTCATTCTCTTCGTCACATTCAGGTACACCTATCAAACGTAGATTAGGTCTTTTCACATAGTCCCATATTTCTTGGAGACTTTGCTCGTTCCTTTTTATCCTTTTTTCTCTAATCTTGTCCTCTAGTTTTATTTCATTGAGTTGGTCTTCGACCTCTGATATCCTTTCTTCTGCTTGATCAATTCGGCTGTTAAAACTCGTGCATACTTCACGAAGTTCTCGTATTGTGTTTTTCAGCTCCATCAATTCACTTATGTTCCTCTCTAAATTGTGTATTCTTGTTAACATTTCATCAAATCTTTTTTCAAGGTTCTTAGTTACTTTAGATTGGGTTAAAACAAGTTCTTTTAATTCACAGAAGTTTCTCATTATCCACATTTTGAAGCCTGCTTCTGTAATTGGAACACACTCGTTCTCCATCAAGCCTTGTTCCGTTGCTGATGAGGAACTGGGATCCCCTGCTCAGGGAGAGGCGTTCTGATCTTGGGCATTCTCAGCCTGTTTTGTCTGTTTTCTTCCCTTCGTTATAAATTTATCCATCTGTGGTCTCTGTATTTACTGTCCTAGTAATTGAGTTTCCGAGGGGACGTCCAACTTATTGATTCTCAGCGCCGAAATCTGAGCAACCCACTGCACTGACTAAATCAGTGGCGTTAAGATTGATGGTGCTTTTCTGACTCTGCACCAAGAACCGACGCTCCGAGGCGCCGGCAAAACCGCCTCGCCGGTCACAAGAGTCGCGCTGGCGACCCGTGGGGCTCCTCCACTGGGAATCTCCTGGTGTGTGCGCAGCAAGAATTCATGGGAAGGTGTGGCGTCCTCTCGTTCTTTGCACTTTTACTGGGAGCTACAATCGCGAGCTGCTAGTGATCAGCCATCTTGGATCTCTCTCGATGAATGGATTTTTTTTTTTTTTTTTTTTTTTTTTTGAGATGGAGTCTCACTCTGTTGCCCAGGCTGGAGTGCAGTGGCACAATCTCGGCTCACCACAACCTCCGCTTCCTGGGTTCAGGCAATTCTCCTGCCTCAGGCCCCCAAGTAGCTGGGGTTACAGGCATCCGCCACCACGCCTGGCTAATTTTTGTCTTTTTAATAGAGATGGGGTTTCACCATGTTGGCCAGGCTGGTCTCAAGCCCCTGACCTCAGGTGATCTGCCCGCCTCGGCCTCCCACAGTGCTGGGATAACAGGCGTCACTGACCGCACCCAGCCTGTCTGATGGAGAGCGGCCCAGCTGGGCAGCTCCAGAGGCCAAGTGGAGTGAGCCACCTGCACGTGTGCCTGCCCTCTGATCTCTGCCCCTTGCCCCCTTGGTTCACACCACAGAGGGTTGGCCTAGTATCCCAAAGGCTCCGCCAATGCCGTCTCTAGTTCCTGGGAACAAGCTCTGCAGCTCCCAGCGAGGTAGGGGACTGCCGGGTCTGAGCCCAGGGCAGGTGTGGTTTGCAGAGGCCTGGGGTTCGTGCCAGCACTGTGGGTTCAGCAGGTGGGTCCCAAGATAGATTCTCAGCCTGAATTCCAGGTTCCAGACGGAAAAGCCCCTGGCCCTGCCCTCCCGCCCCTGTCTTCACCGCTTTGTTACCTGGAGCACTGGGCGCAGGGGGCGGGAGGCAGGGTCGGGGGGTGCTTCACTTGCCGTGTGCCGACTGGGTACCCAGCCCTGTTCGTGGTCCTGCAGGTGCACTGGCGGGCAGGAAAGCCCAAGGCTTCTCTCCACCTGGTGTTTACGTCCTGCAGGGAGAGAGACAGGATGCTCAGGAAGTAAAGGTCCCTTTAGTTGATGTTGAGTGCAGTGGAGGGAAGCTCGGCGCTGGGCCTGGGGGTGTGCGGTGTCGCTGGGCATCACAGCCGCGGGGGGTGCTGCAGGCATTCGGGACCCAGAGGCAGGGTCGCTCACCGCCTCCAGCGCCTCCCACCCCAGGTGCCGCTGCTGAGACCTGGGCACCAGTGTCATGGGGAGACGTGGCACCAGGCGGGTCGGTGAAGACTTTGCGGCGCCATCTCCATGGTGAGGGAGATTGGGAGATGGCACGTTTGAGGACCCTTTAGAGGGAAGAGGAGGCCAGAGTGTGGGGTGGGCTGACGGTGGGCTGAGGGAGGGAGGGTAGAGCCCCCTGAGAAGGGGTCAGGGGAGCAGGAGGAGCCAGATGGCCCCGGAATTCAGGGAGGAGAAAGCCGAGGTGTAAGGGACAGACACAGTGTACTCCTTCCTGAGCACGGTGCGTCCCGCCCTGGCCCCGCTCCCAGGCTCTCGGCTCACTGGCATCTCCGCCTGTCCTTCCCCTGCAGACCTATACTGTACCCTGGAGGTGGATTCCTTCGGCTATTTTGTCAGCAAAGCCAAAACCAGGGTGTTCCGGGACACAGCAGAGCCCAAGTGGGATGAGGTGAGTGGCGGGGCTGGCGTCTGTGCAGGGACCCCCAAGTTTGCACAGAGTGTGCCCCACCGCCCCGTGGTGAGATGGGGTGAGTGGCGGGGCTGGCGTCTGTGCAGGGACCCCCGAGTTTGCACAGAGTGTGCCCCACCGCCCCGTGGTGAGATGGGGTGAGTGGCGGGGCTGGCGTCTGTGCAGGGACCCCCGAGTTTGCACGGAGTGTGCCCCACCGCCCCGTGCTCTTGCCCTGTCTGCCAGGGCCGGCAAGCCGGTTTGTTGCTGGACCAGCTCCGTCTGCTTCCCGCTCTCTGCTCCCTGCTCCTCTGGCGTCGTGTGTGTCTGGGCGTCAGACCCTGCGGTGCCAGCTCCATCCCCACAGTCTCCATGAGGGATGGGAGGCCTCAGATCCCCAGGAAATCTGGTGTATTCTCCGCAGGCTGTGCTGACTCCCTCCTCCTCACAGAGCTGAGGCCCACACCTGCCGGAAAGCCAGGTCTCCATGCCGGGGAAGTTCAGGGCCCTTTGTCTCGTGTTTCCGTAGGAGTTTGAGATCGAGCTGGAGGGGTCTCAGTCCCTGAGGATCCTGTGCTATGAGAAGTGCTATGACAAGAGCAAGGTCAACAAGGACAACAACGAGATCGTGGACAAGATCATGGGCAAGGGGCAGATCCAGGTGAGGCTGGGCTGGGGCGAGGCCGGGGGTGAGGCCAGGCCCGGGGCGAGGCTGGCGAGGCTGGCGGAGCTGCTGTGAGGAGGAATCCTGGCCAAGGAGCGTGCTCCTGTGTGACTCTGCGTCCAAGCTGGCTGGAGTGCTGCTCCCCTGCTGGAGGCAGCTGCTGACTGTGGCCGGTAGCCCAGGTGTGCCCAGATCATCCACACTCCGCGGCCCAGGTGTGCCCAGCTCCCCAGGCAGGTCACCCACACTTCCTCGGGATGGAAACGACTCGCTGCTTTCACACCCCAGCTTTAGTCTCTGGGCGCTTTTTCCCGGAACGCCGTGTTGAGACAGGTCTGGGGCGCGTCGGTGAGCACGAGGGGAGAGTCTGTGTGATAGGCAGTGTCCCCCATTGACGTGGGGCCGGAGTGAGGCGTGCGGCTCACATGTTTGCTGTTCTGCCAGGACCCAGGGTCCTGCTGGGGGGCGGGGGCGGGGGGCAGGGCGTCTCTGACTTGTTGCGAGCGTTGCTGGACCTCACCCCACTGCGTTGGGAGTCCGTGGCTTCAGGTGTGGACTCTGGGTGTTAGTGGGTGTTGGCAGAGGCTGCGCCTCAGGTGAAGGGCATTTATGCCACTGAGTGCAGTGGCTCACCCCTGTAATCTCAGCACTTTGGGAGGCCAAGGCAGGTGGATCACCTGAGGTCAGGAGTTGGAGACCCGTGTGGACAACATGGTGAAATGCAAAAATTAGCTGGGCATGGTGGCACGTGACTGTAATCCCAGCTACTCGGGAGGCTGAGGCAGGAGAATTGCTTTAACCTGGGAGGCAGAGGTTGTAACAAGCCAAGATCAATCCTGGGTGATGGAGCGAGACTCTGTCTCTAGAGAAAAAGCGCTTCTGTGCCTTTGCGTGCCTCCTGTAACTCTAAAACATTCTGCCTATCTTGAAGATGGCTGCTATTCACCAACCCATTAAGAGAACCAGGCTTGGGAGCCGGAAAAGGTGCGTGGGGGGTGGGGCGCGGTGGTTGCATTCAGCACAGAGCCATCCCAGCTCCTGTCTGGCACCTTGGTGGCCTCAGGCTGTGCCATATTGGTCTGGTTTGGAGGTAGATTCTGTGAGCATGCAATCCGGGTAGACGGGAACGGGTGCTCACTGGGATGGAGCCCCAGTTTGGGGGCACTGGGCTTCACGGTGGCCCAGAGGCCATCCAGGTGCAGGCTGTGACGGCTCCATCTACAACAGGGAGCAGACGATGCTTTTTTGCGGGAAGCGTTTGTCCTCAGATGCACTGTCAAGGCCACTGAGTTTGGTGTCTGGCGTTTAACTGGGGGTGCTGGTAGCACTGCCGCTGGGGAGCTGTGTAGGTCTCCCACTCCTGCCCCGTCTCAGGCTCCGGTGTTGGAACTGGGGGCTCACGGGGAGGGGCCTGGCCTCCCCTGCATCTGCCCCATGTTCCTAAACATGTCTCTGCCTGATGCTTGCCGCTAGGGAGACAGGGCTGCTCGGCCAGCACCAGCCCGTCCTCCCTTATCTGGGAAATGGGCCCTAGAAATCCAGTCCCTGGAAGCTGCTCTCTGCAGGGATAGGGGATGGGAGCCCCGTCTCCCTGTCCCTGGGCTGGGCTAGAGGCACAGGCACAGAGGGGTTCTGGGCTGTCCTGTCTGGCCCCGGGTGACCCCAAGGCAAGAGACAGGAGTGGCCACCATGCCGCACTCCCTGGCCATGGTGGCCGTGGAATAGAAGAGTTAAGAGGGTGTGCCGGGCAGCCAGCTCCACGGGCACGGTGGGCCCCAGCCCCTCCAGACCTCAGCCCCTTTAGCCCCAGCGCTTTCCTCCTCCTCACTCAACTGCATGAGCCCCGGGGGAAACACACCATCCATCACTCCAAGCATCCTGGAGACAGGAGCAGATGGAGGCGGTGGGGGAGCGGGCAAGCCAGGTTATGTTTGGCAAAGCAGAAGGCAGGGCCTGGTAAGGAACATGTTTCTGTGTTTAAGCTTCGAGGAATGTTAAATGCCTGGGAGTTGATATTAAAAGAAACACAAACCTCCCAGCTGCCAGCTGACCTGGGCCTGTGAGCGGGCAGTTCAGAGCCGGAGTCCCCTGGAGGCCTTTGAAGTCCCAGCACTCAGGGCTCCCTGGCCCTCTGCCGGGGGCCCTCTCACCAGCCTTGCTTCAGGTGGGGGAGGCATTCCCCAGGGGTGCGCCGTGGCTCAGAAAGTCTCGCCCCCTGACTGCCCTCGGAGCCACCGTGGATGGCAGGCTGGTGAAGAGTCCAAACGGAGCTTTCCCACAAAGCCAGGCCCCACGGAGCCACGGAACGGTCTGTGCTCATGGCATGTCCCTGCCTCCCATCCGGCCTCCTGTCTAAGGAAGGGAACTGGCACCAGCATCCCGGACACAGCCAGAGGTGGCTTTGAGACAGGACCCAGTCCTCGGGATGTTCAGGGGGCCTGAGGGAAAGGCAGGAGGAAGACACCCGCCTCTGTGGCCCCCATTTCTCTCTAAGCCCCTCCTACCGGCCCCTCTCGAGAAAGCAGGGGACCCTTCGGCCTCAGGGCTGGTCGCCCGATGGGGCAGTGGGGCAGGAGTCGGCGCTGCGGGCTGGGGTGGGGCGGCCTTTAGTGACAGACTGCGGCCCTGGTGCTGTTGGAGGCCCTCCCCAAAGTCATCATCTTGCGTGATCCCGGTCCTTTCCCTCCAAGGAGAGTGATAGTCCCTCCTCCCCGTTTTACGGATCAGGACTCGGTGGTACTGAGGCTAAGTTCCTCGGCCAAGGCCTCTGTGGACAGTGCGTGGGGAAGACCCCACTCCTTCCCCTGTTCAGGGCCCCATGCCTCAGGCCTTTGTCAGGACGTTCCCCAGCCGAGGCAGGGGGCCTGGTGTGGCCGGTGGCTGGAGAGGCAGCTGGGGAGCTGCTTTATGGCATCAGGGGAGCTTACGCCTCCTTGATCTTGCAGCCCTCTGGGCAGGGGACGCCTGTGCCTGGTGCCCCTGGAGAAAGGAGGAGGAGCACACATGGGAAACAGCAGGAGGCCAAGGTGGGTGGATCACACGGTCAGGAGTTTGAGACCAGCCTGGCCAAGATGGTGAAACCCCATTTCTGCTAAAAATACAAAAATTAGTTAGGTGTGGTTCTCACGCCTGTAATCCCAGCACTTTGGGAGGCTGAGGCAGGCAGATCACTTGAGGTCAGGAGTTCGAGACCAGCCTGGCCAACATGGTGAAACCGCATCTCTACTAAGAATACAAAAATTAGCCAAGCATGGTGGCGTGTGCCTGTAGTCCCAGCTACTCAGGAAGCTGAGGCAGGAGAATCACTTGAACCCGGAAGGTGGAGGTTATAGTGAGCTGAGACCGCGCCACTGCACTCCAGCCTGGGTGAGACAGAGTGAGATTCTCTCTCCAAAAAGAAAAGAGAAGAGCAGGAGGAGCACTTTAAGTGCATCTGTGAGGTCCCCAGCCCAGGAGTGGCGCTCTGCAGGTGTGGGGTCCTGGCCTGTCAGTTGGAAAGTCAAGAACATAGGTCCATGTTCTCCTGCAGAACAACGCAGTACCAGTCAGAACCACGCCCACGCCAGTGCCTAGGACGAGTCCAGCTCAGCGTAAATGCTGACATCTGCCATCTGGGGTTCCTCCCAGGGCCCCGTGGGGTACGAATGTCATCACAGTGAGAAAGGCGAATGGAGGAGCCAGCCAAGGCCATGTGCCCAGGAGCAAGCCGGGATGCACAGCCACCTCCAGAGCCCGTTTCTAGACGCCCTGCTGCCTCCTGCTGTAAATAATGAGACCGAAGATTGTACTGCAGGAATTCAAAGGCAGAAAGGTCATCATGGGCTGGAATTAGGGAGGCTTCAAGCAGGAGGTGGAACTAGAGTGATTTGGAAGCACTGGCTTTTCTAATAGCAAAAGCAACGTTTGCAGAGAAAGAAAATTGCAGTAGAAGCAGAGACTTGAAATGTAAACCCATCCCCACTCCCCCTCCCCCAAGCCCATCCCCCATTCCCCTCCTCCAGCCCATCCCCCTCCCCTCCTCCCAGCCCATCCCCGCTCCCCCTCCTCCCAGCCCATCCCCATTCCCCTCCTCCCAGCCCATCCCCACTCCCCTCCCCCAGCCCATGCCCACTCCCAGTTCGTCCAACCCATCTCCATTCCCACTCCTCCGGGATAACTTCTGGAGAACATATTTATGTAGATTTAATCAGGTGTGTTTTGTCTATTTTTCTATTTTCTTTCTTTTTTGAGGTGGAGTCTTGCTCTGTCACCCAGGCTGGAGTGCAGTGGCGAAATCTTGGCCCACTGCAGCCTCCGCCTCCCGGGTTCAAGCAATGCTCCTGCCTCAGCCTCTTGAGTAGCTTGGATTACAGGTGGGCACCACCACGCCCCACTAATTTTTTGTGTATTTTTAGTAGAAATGGGGTTTCACCATGTTGGCCAGGCTGGTTTCGAACTCCCGACCTCAGGTGATCTTCCCACCTCAGGAGTGAGCTGCCAGGCCTGGCCTGGTTTTTCTATTTTCATGGACTATTATAAGCCTTTTTTGATCTGGGCTCTGATGTAGTCTTCCTAAGCACCTTGTTAGATACATTGTTAAAAGTACTTGATAGTCTTTATAGAAATCCTTGTATCTAAGGGCCAGCCCAGTCCCTCGCCAAGGCTCTGTTGCTCTAGCAAGGTGGGCAGGCTCTGCATCTGTAGGAAGGAAGCTGGGTTGTTGGTAGAGGTGAGGGGGAGGACCCGCATGGCCACTCACAGGAGGCAGGAATATGCGGGAAGCCCCTGGGAAATTCGGGAGCTCAGCCGGCCTTCCGCAGGGTGGCGGGGAGGTGTGAGCAATCAAGTATAAGGAATGAGTACAAGCAGAGGATTCATGGATGTTTCTGCCAAAAGTCTTTTTGAGATGGAGTCTCTCTTGCCCAGGCTGCAGTGCAATGGCACAATCTCGGCTCACTGCAACCTCTGCCTCCCGGGTGCGAGTGATTCTCCTGCCTCAGCCTCCTGAGTAGCTGGAA